ATGGCTTAGATGGGTGGACGGACTCACAGCCCACCTGGTGTTAAGTGGTTACTGGAGCTCATAGACAAATACAACGTAAATGCGCCACCCACCTTGAGATATATGTTCTAAGATCTCAGTATAGTTACAACGGCTGCCGTGCTCTTCAAGCCGAAACGCATTACTGCTTCACGGTAGAAATATGCAGGATGGTGGTACCTACCCGTGCGGACTCACAAAAGGTCCTACCACCAGTAAAGGGATAAGGACAGGAGAATGATGAATACGTCCTACATTTTCCTGTCTATTTCCTTAAGAAAATGGTACCGGTATGTGGTGGTTTGAACACCAGATACATCGCTCGATATATGAACACACCGGTCTTATGTTTTAGGATACGGAGACTTCACGGACGATTAAATCAAAGGTAATTTTGTTTGCGGCTTCATTAATGACATCAGAATTTTTAATGCCATCGATTGACAAAAATATTAGTGGCCAATTAAGACTAACCATCTAATCACGGGTCGACGGAAAAAATGTTGTTAAGACGATATTACATAACTTGGCGCAATCGCACAACCCACGTGTTCCACCTGGCTATTTTTTTATTTATTCTTTTAGATGCTAAGATGGGTGGACGAGCTCACAGCCCACGTGGTGTTAAGTGGTTACTTAAGAGCCCATATACATCTATAACGTAAATGCGCCATTCACCTTGAGATATAAGTTCTAAATTCTCAAGCATAATTACAACGGGTACTAGCCGCCCTTCAAACCGAAACGCATTACTGCTTCACGGCAGAAATAAGCAGGGCGGTGGTACCGACCCGTGCGGACTCACAAGATGTCCTATCACCAGTAATTTCTACGCGAATCATTCATGCGTTACGCCTTGTATTGTGTGACAGTCAATATACAATTGAGTCTTTGATCTCATAACTAAAGACAGGCAGGTAGTGGCATTTACATTGTAGTGTTTAAGTGCTCTGGAAACTAAACAGAGGGTTGAAAGGATATTTGGCTTAAGCGACGTGTTTCACTTAATACGCGACATTTATGCATCCAGTGTATTCCAATGGTTAGACCTAACGTTTAAAAGCTACTAAGTATGGTCCCAGTTTCCAGATCCAGTCAAGTTTTTTTTTTTTTGGCTTAGATGGGTGGACGAGCCCACCTGGTGTTAAGTGGTTACTGGAGCCCATGGACATCTACAACGTAAATGCGCAACCCACCTTGAGATATAAGTTCTAAGATCTCAGTATAGTTACAGCGGCTGCCCCACCCTTCAAACCGAAACGCATTACTGCTTCACGGCAGAAATAGGCAGGGCGGTGGTACCTACCCGCGCGGACTCACAAGAGGTCCTACCACCAGTATCATGCCTTATCAAAATTGGAATAGGCTTGGAACCTCTGGGTCTGCGTAGGGACTTCGGTTCCCCCTGTATTTTGTACCGTATGTTCCATGAGGAGTGCTCTGAGGAATTGTTTGAGATGATACCACCATCTCGTTTTTACGTTTTGCAATTAAAGGTCCGTTTTATTTGACACTAGCGGCCCGCTCCGGCTCCACTCGTGTCTTTAACAAAAAATTCAACGATATTTGACGTTGTTTTATTTTTTTTAATAAAAGAACGCTTATTGCGGCATAAATATAATAGTTAGACGTATACTGCCGCGACACTTTTAGTTAATAATGTGTTCTACAAAGTCGTAGTCCATTATTTTATTCTATCATCAATAGTTTTCACAGGGCACGCGATGTAAAGAATATTTTAGGTAATTCTTTTACACCTTGGGTTACATTATTGGAGTTTTAGTAAGGTTCCCTAATTTTTTTTTTCAAAAAAGATTATATAGCCTATGTCACTCGGAAATAGCGTGGCTTCCAAACAGTGAAATATTTTTTCAAATCGGTTCAGTAGTTTCGGAGCCTGTTCAATACCAACAAACAAACAAATCTGTCCTCTTTATAATATTAGTATAGATTACCATCAACAGTTCGATGCTTTTAATCGAACTTCCAATTGTTTTTACATCATTTAATTAACCGAAGAAGTGTTTTTGTTATAATAATTTTTCAAATTTTAAACTTTAAATGGCTCTCTTGTAAAGTTGCAAAAATGTCGTATAAACCTAATAACCTAAAACCTCACGCCTTGACATATTATCAGACGGGCCGTGAGCTCGTTCATCCAGCCTGAGTTAAAACATATATTCAGGCATTAGATCATAAGTATCATAAGTACTATTCAAAAATTTATGATTATTTTTTATTAAATTCGAAGGCATAGCTTAATCTTGTTAGCAGAGGTTGCGAAGTGGCAAGAGATATCTAATTTACAAATTTAAAAATATAATACAATCGTACTCAATTGATAAAGTTCACAAGTCAAAAAAAAACTTTAACTAATCATTATATAAGATCGCGAAAGATTAAAAAAAAAAAAAATCGTGACGCGTTTTGTGATTATGAAATGTGTTTCAATTTCAAACATTAAGCTGATTAAAAGACTCATTTAGATTTAGTTAGCTGTGAAAACAGAACATGATTCTGTATATTATACCATACAAATTTTTTAAGTCAACAACATTTGAATTAATAAACTTTGTTATAGAGGTATGTAATTTCCGTGTTTTTAGGCATTATCTGAGATCTTAGAACTTATATCTCAAAGTGGGTGGCGCATTTACGTTGTAGATGTCTATGGGCTTCAGTAACCACTTAACACCAGGTGGGCTGTGAGCTCGTTCACCCAACTAAGCAACAACAAATAAAAATATAAAAAAGATCTTCTCAGCGGGTCGCAATTCCGATTCGGTAGTAGATTCATTCGTGAAGCACCTACTTTTTTTTATTGCCCTTGTTGGCAGACGAGTATACGGCCCACTGAGTGGTTACTGTCATCCATGGACTTCAGCAATGCCAGGGGCAGAGCCAAGCCGCTGCCTACTTTTGACTTGTTAGGTCTTCTTCGGAGGCGCTCGGGCAGCTGTTAGCTTTTAGGCATACTAGTGCTCGTAGAACGAATGGCTGCTGGAGTCGAAGAGTTCAAGTGTCGATCGCGTACCGGAAGACGTGGCGTGGGTAGGCATCTTACAAGCTAGACTGACGACCTATTAAGGTACGCGGGGATCCGCTGGATGCAACCAGCCTAAGACCAATCCTTGTTGCGAGGCTTAGGTGTGGCCTATGTCCATCCGTGGACGTCTGTGGGCTGATAGATAGATAGGCATACCAATCACCGGACAAGGCTCGAAGTGCAACTTAATCCACAGACACAACCGACTGAGTTTCTCGCCGGATCTTCTTAGGAGGGCGCGATTCCGATCCGGTGGTAGATTTAGCGAAGCGCTGCCCTTGCTAGTTGTTAGTAAAGTCTGTTGAGTCTCTATATCGGGCAAGGATTATAAGACACGTGTTCAGTAACTAACGTATATTGGGATTACAACCTAACGTGCTATCGACAGCCCGACAAACCCGAGACTGGCGTAGTATCATTGCAATATAATTACCGCTAACACATACATATTATAATTATTAGTTGCTATGGGGACATTTGCGGTCCCTACAAGTCTCCCAGACTGAGCCTCGGGAGCTCGCCTACCGGTCTGCGCGAAGCTCGAATAACCTCTTAGGCTACCAATGATTAGGCAGCGAAAAAAGCGGTGTAGCCAGAATAACCCTTCGAGGTAACTCACTTTTTTTTCCTACCTAAGCTGGTAGTTTTGAGAAGCTATACCAGCGTAACCTAACGAGTAGGTGAGTCCTCAGGGCTCTAACCTGGGGGCGTTGCTAACATTAGCCCTAGCAAGAGCAGTGCTTCGCAGAATCTACTACCGGATCGGAAACGCGCGCCGCTGAGAAGATCTGGCGGGAAATTCAGTGGGCTGTGTCTATGGGTTAGTTTACTCGCTTGACGCTTAAGGTATGCACCTAAAAGCACCAGGTTACTGGTAGTGCTGTAGTATTGGCAAACATGCATTTTCTCCAATGGAAATTACGTCACTTCCAATCTTATGGATTGTTATTCAAATAATAGTGGCGTTTTAAGCACACTGCCCCCTCTAAAATGACCTATAAATAAAATGTGATTAAGGTGTTTTTGTTATCTTACCGGTCGATTCGTTTTGAAAATATTTGGTCTCGTGATCACCAGTGCGCGACTCTGTGAGATGCATGCAACTGTTAAATTATGTTGGAAACACGCAACATGATTCTAGGTGCGATATTCATTTCTCTAGACAGAATTCTAGGAACGCTTTCTGACTTGAATTCATCTAATTTTATGATAAACCACGTGCACTCTCAGATCTTTTTCTTTCACAAACGTAGGACGTTTTACAATAAATAGTTATAAATAGTTGTGGCGTCTAAGAACGCACCTTTTTATGATGCGTAAGCCGGAACGCACGAGAGGTGGGAAAAAGAATATAGTCTGTGACACGGGACCTTTTTACCGCCTAAAATTTAAAACGTAAAAATAATTTATAATGTGTTTAATAACTAATGTAATATAATTACTTAGAATTGTTTATACCGCTGCAACAATAAAATTTATATTGTTTCAACTTTCAACTGTGGTGTTAATTACATAAAACACGACTTTACGGCGAAATAAAGAACTCTATATGAACTCCCTCATAGTGATAATAATAAGAGACTCAATTGGAGAAATGGAATTGAAAAAAAAAACTGCGTTTACCACAACCACTTTGTGTATTGCTATCAAAACGATTCGGTTTACTCTATCACCCCACTCTATTTTAATATCAAGAAAAGAAAATATGGGACTTAATTCAAAGTTTGATTTCGTTAAAACTGTATTATTAACCAGATTGTGTTTTACTACAGAGTTGTGAAAGAACAAGAAATTCATAGATGAAAAAGTAATTATAATGACATGACACAATAGATTAATGTACAAAATACGTCTAAATATGGTTTAAATCACGTTCAAATACTCTATGTAATGACAGTTTATTATTTTATTGATAAACACAAAACCGATTATAACCATGGATTCCGATGCATCGTGTTCGGATTGCAAAATAGAATTTATTGAGGGTAAATGGACACAAATACTTTTGAATTGGGTGAGTTTATATTACGTTTTTTTTTGGGTCTACGAAGTGACGTTTTCTCTTGGTATTTTTCGGCATGTGTTCTGTACAAATATTGGATGATACAGGCGTTTTATCGTCCCTGCTAGTTGGGAACACAGTGCGTTTTTTTTATTGCTTTGATGGGTGGGCGAGCTCGCTGCCCACCTGGTGCTAAATGGTTACTGGAGCCCATAGACATTTACGACGTAAATGCGCCACCCACCTTGAGATATAAGTTCTGAGATCTCAGTATAGTTACAACGGCTGCCCCACCCTTCAAACCGAAACGCATTACTGCTTCACGGCCGAAATAGGCAGGGTGGTGGTACCTACCCGCGCGGACTCACAAGAGGTCCTACCACCAGTTTCCAAAGAACATTTTGCCGTGTACGATTTTACTATTGGACGAACTTCCTTTCTAAGTATTTCCTCAATACTACGACACAACCTTTTTGTTTTACGGTCAATTACTGACATATATCGCTTCCTCAGATCGCGAAACGGGGAGACTGTTTGTTGCATAGCCCAAAACTTAAAACTCCCTAATCTGTTCACAGATCAATAAATGCACCGTCCAAGAGCCCAGAGTTGAACAACTAACACAAAAATGTCTGCTAAGTATTATAGATAAATATAAACATGATATTTGCACGAACGATCTCGATAGAGCCATTCTGTGTACAGATGATGTTGAGCCTTTCATCAGATATAAATACCCTATACTGAGATTAAGGTGAATTTTCTTAAGTCGTTTGTCGTTTTTCTTGTCTTCTTGGTCTGTCTTCAAATCGGTATACAGAAAAACCTAAACTGCTAGAGGGGCCATCATTTGAAACCTATCCCTCAACTATTTTTTACTGGTGGTAGGACCTCTTGAGAGTCCGCGCGGGTAGGTACCACTACCCCACCTATTTCTGCCATGAAGCAGTAATGCGTTTCGGTTTGAAGGGTGGGGCAGCCGTTGTAACTATACTTGAGACCTTAGAACTTATATCTCAAGGTGGGTGGCGCATTTACGTCGTAGATGTCTATGGGCTCCAGCAACCACTTAACACCAGGTGGGCTGTGAGCTCGTCTACCCATCTAAGCAATAAATAAATAAAAACTAACCCTGGTTCGAACACCACTGGGTGGTATGCAAAGAGAATATAGCGTTAACTCTAATGGCACTTTTGCAAAATGATGCACTGGCTATAGCTAAATTTCGATGTCGGTAAGTGGGTTACGACTGGAAGCTGCTCTGGATTTGCATTAATGGCACTTTATCCTTAGTTTAGCTCCAATTCCCTATTTTTATTGCCCGTTGCTAGCATGCTCAGCCAACATCTGTATCAACCGGAAGGAAGGTATTCTTGGTAGACAAGCAAGTGTCCATAGAACCAACCACATCATAATTTAACAGCCCATCTCGAGATGGAAGCAGCTTATCTGCGAGCTATTCTGTGCTGTGAATGAGAACTCCCTCTAGATGAATTAGTAGGATTATGATACTATGGGTATATTTTTTGTTTCTTTTGACTTGTTTTTATTGGCGAGTATCTTTAATTGACTTTATGTTTTCTATTTGTTAGTCTATTATGTTAATTCAATCTGTTTGATTTCCTGAAAATAAATAAATAAAATCCAGTCCACAAATTTTGGGGAAAATCAAGAGAATTCTTAAGGTAGACTTTGCGAGAGATCATTGAGGAGAAGACGCTCCTAATCTCGGCAAATTTTCGAGAAATATACATTGTATTAATCTGAAACAGGTATTTAACCGAAGCCATGAATCTGGAGAAAAAGTTGTACATAATGGCATCGGTCTTACTTTACTACTGCTGCTGCAATTCTAGGAGTGGCGACATAGACCATGACATATGCAAGAACTTAGCCATTGACGAGCAGGGGACTATATTAAAGTTCTGCGAGAGACTCAGCGATATGGAAGTCACTATTAATAACGTTGAAACAGCTGTAAATGGTGGAACTATTTTTCTATTGGAACTAATTAGGTTTTAATAAGTAGATATACAAACAAACCTGGGCGAGCGATAACTGAACAAGCGAGAAAAGATCTCGTCATTTAAAGTTTCTTATCAACCGTAAAAGTAGGCTTAATATAGTCCATGACTCTCGAAAATCGATTAAAGTATGAGAATAGAAATTGTACATAGTTTTTTTAATAAATGCTATTATAGTATTCGCCTAATGACCAAAATACGACCATATTCACTGAGACTATAAGATTTAGATTTATTTTAAGTACAATTTTTTCTTTTTCGTTTTATCATTGAAATATTTATTAAGGAACTGCCTATTTCCGAATTATCTTATTTTTAACTCCAAACCGATCCGAAAATCCCAAAAAAATCCAATTGACAAACAATTGAGAAAGTGATACATAATTGTCTTGTGTTTTTATTTTACTAGTCAAACCCGGGCCGATTGCTGGCCGATCTTTCATTAGACTTTGATTCGATCACTACGAAACTTCGTAGACTCCATATCTCAAGGTATATGGTGGTATTCACATTTCTTAACCATATAACACCAAACGAATCGCGAAATTTTCCTGAACAGCGCATTTAAATGAAGCACATTAATAAACGAGACGATTAAACTATAATTTATCAATTTATTTGAATTTTAGATGCACTACAAAATTTATTGAAGCAAGAAGAAAACAAACCAATTCAAATTGCTCGTAATCAAATAGAAAAGCCCAATGTCACTCCCCTATCGGCCCAGTACCAACCATTATCCAGCTCTGAAGATAATTCAAATTCTGATGATTCAAAAGACGCTGCCGTTAAATTTATATCTCCACTAACAGTTCTGCCGTCTGCAGTACCAGATGCTTCAACTTTTTCTAACGTCACAGAATCCGTACTTACTAATGATAGTGCCATTGATAAAGATGCTTCAGAAAAAAAGGACATCAGTGTATTCAGAACTGAGAAATTTGGGAATTCCGACGATGACTCTTGTGAATCGAGTGAGTTAATTTTCAAAATAGCTAGTTCACCTTTTGTCCATGAGTTGCACTAAAAATGAATTTTAATAGTTCGCAACTCATTGACAGCGGCAAACGTAAATATTTCATACTTAATCCCGATTCCAGACAATCGTTGTAAAACCGAATGTGATTGTGCGAGATGCAGCATCTCCGGCCCGTGCTGCGGTGATCCCGGCCAATCGACACTGAGCTGTGGCGAGCCTTGTTCGTGGAAATGCCAATTGTAAAAATTCTCAATCGATTTTACGGATTTTATTGTCACATCCAAATTTGGTGGTCCTTTTTCGATCTACGAGATTCATTTTCGTGTACAATTTGCGATCAGAATGTGCAAGTCTGTACAAGTTGCGTGTACAAGTCTTTGTAAGATATTTATTTGGTATTCGAGCATTTGGTGAACTATTTTTCACATGTTCAATCTCCAGGTAGTTGCAAAAATTACAAGTACCTATGAGGATTTCTGTGCTGGTATGAAAATTATCACTTCTACAGTTAGTTCTTGTCTGATCGCAATTAAAATCACAATGAGGAGGTCAGAAGTCCATAAGACTAAAGTACTTAAATATTATCATATTTTAAATTGTTGTCCACTACGTTCTTGCAGCCAAATCTGACTAGAAGATTTAAGAGAGCCGATGCGCTATCCCACTAACGGGGTCCGAGCATTGGCTCTGCCTCTCCAAGCTCTGACCTCTTGCAACTCACCTGATTACAGCCTTCGCAACTGATGGCAGGTTTTAACGGAAAAAAAATTACATAAAAAAACAATTTTGACACGTTTTGTTTTTCCACCTAGCAACGGTTCCCTGGTGATATTCTGCGGGTTGTTTTTTTTTGACTGTTTTACAAATATTGAAACAGATGAAATACGTAAATTAAAACATTTACCGAGAGATTGCTTTAACAGCTGCACGTTTCATTATTTTCAGTAAGCACCTCAAATTCTCTAGAAAAACATATGTATATGCTTTTGCGGGGTGTTTAGCAATTGTAATCTTGTTGGCGGCTGTTTTAATTACGTTGGCCGTTTTAAAGAAAAAAGAACACAACAGATATGATGCAAGAAGGCTCATGGACGATGAAGCAAGGTGGTTTGGTTTTAATACTGTAAATCGATTGCATTTAATAACGGAGAGACATCATCATCATCATTCTTTCCTATTACCCTCTGCTGGGGTGTAGGGCTCGAATCAAAATTTTCCATTTATATCGGTCTTGGGCAGTCTGTTCTAGCTCCTCCCACGTCATGCCCAAGACCCCTAGCTCCTGCTCCACCGAGCGACGCCAAGTTGTTCTGTGGCGGCCTCTCTTTCTTTTGCCAGACACTTTCCAGGTCAGTGCTCTCTCAAAGTGTGACGTAACGTAATAAATAACGGAGAGACACGTAAAGTAATCTGAATGTCAATTTTTTTTTGTGGGAGCAATCTAAGTACTTATTGCCTATTAGTTAATCGTTGCTTAATCAAGCCCCGGGCAATGTTAGATGAAGTCCTGTATTAGTACTAGCAATCTATAATACAGCGTCGGTAAAAAAAACAAACGAACCTATGGATTCTATATTATGACTTTACAGGATATTCCGACCAAACGCATGGGAATGTGTTGAAAATTTATGCCAGAAACTAAACCGGCCAACATCTAAACGTATTTATGTTTCGCACAGTAGATGCGTTCTGCAGTGCATGGGACCACAGCTTTGGCCATACCCGATTGGCTATACGTTGTTCAGTAAAAAATTAGTGGCTATGTCGATTCTAAAATTGGAATACAAATTTCAATCGTTACCTTCAGAGAACGTGCATCGGCATTTAGCTGAAGCGTTTAAACTCTTCATTGGAGATTTAGCTCGATTGGAAAAGATAGGCAGAGAAATGAAAAACGGCACATGTGATTTACCCGTCAAAAAGATGAATATTATTATAGATATCGAAACAGATCCCGATCCAAGATTGAGACTGAATACTGACGAAGCGTACACTATTAGTGTTAATACCAATTTTGATTTTATTACCATACATTTAAGTTCCTCGTCTTTCTGTGGAGTTAGACATGGCTTGGAGACATTGAACCAGGTGATTTTACTAGATCAACTGACCGGCTATTTGATAACTTTGTCGCATATTATTGTAAAGGACGCGCCAAGTCATAAATATAGAGGACTCATGATTGACACAGGAAGAAATTATATACCGATGCCAGATTTAATGAAAACTATTGATACAATGGCCGCTTGCAAATTAAATACATTTCACTGGAGGATATCCGATGTAACGAGCTTTCCGTTGCTTTTACCCAAGCTAAAAGAATTATTTGAGTTCGGTGCTTATGATAGAGCTTTGGTTTATACGAGAGCTGATGTGAAAGCTTTAGTGACGAGGGCTAAAGTTAGGGGGATTAGAGTATTGATTGAAGTGGCTGCACCGGGGCCGGTTGGACGACCTTGGTTTTGGCACAACGAAGCGACTTGCCCAGCCAAAAATGCGAATTACACGTGCGATAACTTATTGTGTCTTAGATTGAATATGAGAGAGTCAATTTTTGATGTATTACAATTAATATACGCCGAAATCATTGCACTCACTGAAGTGGACGATATATTCCATTTAAGTGATGGAGTATTCACAATGATGAATTGCTTTTCATTGATTGAGGATAGAGATGGGTTTTTAGATAAAGCGCTGAATAGGCTAAGAATGGCCAATAAAGGCTTCATGCCGAAATTACCCATAGTCTGGTATACGAAACATCTGACCAGGACTCTTGAGGCGAAAACGTGGGAGCATTTGGGAGTGCAGCTTTACCAGTGGAATCCCGATTCTGGAGATTATTTGGGAACGTTTCGCGTGATTCATTCAAACAAATGGGATCTGTCGTGCGAAATGCGGAAACAGAGATGTTATAAATACCGGTACATATTGATTTATTATTTACTAGCTGACCCGGCAGACTTCGTGTAGTGCCTCAATCGATAAATAAAAGACCTAAGCTTTTGTATAAAATAAACATAAAACAAACAAAAGGAATCCGTCCGACGGGGGGGACACCAAGGAAAAACTTTTTTTTTATATTTTTTTACCTTTTAAACCTTTCCAGGACGTCCACAAATAATTCAAGACAAAAATGGCCGTTGTCGAGTTTTAGCGAGACTAACGAACAGCAATTCATTTTTATATATTATATAAGATAATTTAAGATGTGTTGGCGTTTTCGAATGATTTAGAGAAAAAAATAGTTTTTGCAGATATTTTCTAACATGTCGTAGTTTGCAGAATTCACTACTAGATTTCAATCCTATGATCGCAAAAAGTGTTCTCATTGCGATTCGCCGTTAGCGTTTCGTCAGATAAAACTTAATTTCATATTGGTTTTGTACACGTAATAATAAAAACATACGACTGAGGTGGTATGTAAAATTNTTCGAATGATTTAGAGAAAAAAATAGTTTTTGCAGATATTTTCTAACATGTCGTAGTTTGCAGAATTCACTACTAGATTTCAATCCTATGATCGCAAAAAGTGTTCTCATTGCGATTCGCCGTTAGCGTTTCGTCAGATAAAACTTAATTTCATATTGGTTTTGTACACGTAATAATAAAAACATACGACTGAGGTGGTATGTAAAATTTGCGAATATTCTGGACAGTTTACCTTTATTGAAACGCCCTTTAATTATACTATACGAAAAATCTTTCGTTAGTATTCTTTGGAGAAGAGAAGATCTATACTAATATTATAAAGAGGAAAGATTTGTTTGTTAGTTTGTTTCGAATAGGCTCCGAAACTACTGGACCGATTTGAAAAATTCTTTTTCCATTAGAAGCCGACATTGTCCCTGATGAACATAGGCAATTTTTTTTTAATTTTTTTTTTTATTTTTTTTTTTGGTTTCATGTGTGTTTTAATGTTTCCGAAGCGAAGCGAGGGCGGGTCGCCAGTACTATATAAATTTGCTGTTTTTTTTTAAAATTCAGGACTTGGCAAGGAATGTACTCGTGGACATCTTGGCGAAACATCGACGTGTTTACGATAGAAGGTGGAGAAGCAGTTCTTTGGACCGATTTTGTAGATTCAGGCAAGAATTTTGTTGAAGAAGAAGTTTGACCTCATAGTGAAGCAGATGAATAAAATTACAATTACAATTTTATAGGAAATCTTGATTATCACCTGTGGCCACGTGCTGCCGCAGTAGCCGAGAGACTGTGGTCAGATATCATAGCGAACACTACACCAAATCCTGAAGTCTACGTGAGATTAGATTACCATAGGTAATTAAAATGTATGTCCTTTTATCATAAGTACGCCTTTCAATAGGTGGACCGATGTCCTTTTGAAAGTCAGGCGGTTCTATTGAGTCGGTCGCTATGGTTAACCCGGGGGAGGCTTAAGTCCAACAGTAGACGTCTGGGCTGGTGACGATAATACTGCATACTTTATTATACTCAAAAGTTTTGGAGAAAACGGAAATGCCGCCACCCATCTCACAGCATGAGCTTTAAGTATTAGTTTTCCAGTACAATGGCTGATCCACCCTTCAAATCGAAACTCATGATTACTTTGGCATCACATTACTACAGTGGCTCATAAGACGCCCCACCGCCAGACCACGCCAATTATTTTCTCAATAACTTTTGGATTTGCTCTTCATTACACGATGTTGTTCGTGAACATGTGTTAAGTACCATTTTTTAATGCTTAGATGGGTGGATGAGCTCACGGCCCACCTCGTGTTAAGTGGTTATCGGAGCCCTTAGACATCTATAACGTAAATGATGCCACCAACGTTAAAACATGAGTTCTAAGGTCTCACTTTTATAAGTATAAGGGCTGCCCCGGCCTTTAAACCGAAACGCATTACTGCTTCACACTACTTCACGGCAGAAATAGGCAGAGTGGTGGTACTAACCCGTGCGGACTCAAAAAACGTCCTACCCCCAATCACCTATATCACTAGACTCCTATCTGCGGTATTCGAACATTGGCATAGTCGCATCTAAGAATTAATCATTTTAATTAAAAATCCTTTAACAGATGGCGTATGCTACTTCGTGGTTTTAAAATGCAGCCAATTTGGCCGGTATGGTGCACTCTGAATCCTGGGACTTGTCTCAAGAAATTACAATAGAATTTGGAGGGAAAAATAATAGATTCCAATCGGACAGACCAACATGAAATTTAACTCGGATGTTTCAGAAAAGCGTTCATCGCATGCATACAACAAATTGCTTGCTCTTTCTCTGTCCATATATCTGTCTGTCCCTATGTATGCTTAAATCTTTAAAACTACGCAACGGATTTTGATGCGGTTTTTTTTATAGGTAGTGATTCAAGAGGAAGGTTTATATGTATAATAACATCCATTAAATAGTGGAGAAATCAATAATAAATTACAGTTTCCGAAGCGAAGCGAGGGCGGGTCGCTAGTATTTAGATAAAATAGAAACAAAAATATACAATTTCGTACATTTAATTTTTAATTTCAACAAAACTCTCAACAACAACAAAAAAATCTATTTAAAAACCTCGTGAACGAGCGCTCTGGCATTGGTATACGTGCCGACAACACAGATTACCGCTCCAAATAATGCAACAATGATGCACTTCCACATCCTCCACATTAAGAACCCCAGGCCTGGGTCGGTCCAGTCCAATGTGAGTTCAATGAAAGCTGGATACATGAAGCCCATGCTGGATAGGCAGAATGAGCCGATCTGGACGAAGGATAATGAAATTCGAGGCCTTAAGGATATACAGTCTAACGATAGTAACGATTGTGAAGGGTGCTATTTTTTTTGCCTCTTAAGTGGTTACCGGAACCCATAGACATCTACAACATAAATGCCGCCATCCACCTTGAGATATGATTTCTAAGGTCTCAGTATAGTTACAACGGCTGCAGCGCCCTTCAAACCGAAACGCAATACTGCTTCACGGCAGAAATAGGCATGGTGGTGGTATCTACCCGTGCGGACTGAAAAAACGTCCTACCACCAGTAATTACGCAAATTATAATTTTGCGGGTTTGATTTTTATTACAAGATTCTTTCACCGTGGAAGTCAATCGTGAATATTTGTTACGTTCGTATTTCTTTAGAAAAATTGGTACCCGCCTACGGGATTCGAACACCGGTGCATCGCTCGATATGAATGCATCGGACGTTTTATCCTTTAAGCCACAACGACTTCTAGATTGCTATTCTAGACTGACACCATACATCCAAAGACACTTTAACGTTATTACTGTCTATAGTGCGGTTTCTGTCCAGGATGATCGGACGACCACTGCAGAATAATGTAGAATTCACACCCAAACGTCATTCCATCGATCCGGCAGTTAATGCTTCGAGTAAATCTTGGTGTTTATTAATTTTCCACTACCCAACATATGATCGGTAATCACCATTGCTTATGGACTTCACCAGTCTTAGGGGGACAGCTAAGCTGCCGCCTAAGGATCACTGCATGTCTGATGCTAAGGACCTTTCTCAAGCTTCGCTTGTGTTATAGTGATCAGAAAACTCCTATGGTACACGTTATCTTTTCAAATGTAATCTACTCCCGTCGCGATTGGTGTGATGGCAAAAAGGAGCCAAATAGATCGTCTCGTATAATTTTTTAGCATCCATGTCTGGCTAGTAAAAATCATAGTGAAATAACTATAGCTCCCGTTTCGAACTTACCAAAGCCGTCAATTTGCTTATATTTGGAAACGTCACAGCTATTAAGGTGATTCCCGTTACGAATATTATTCTGTAGACTCGTTCCCACAGCCAATACTTCTGGGGCTGGTGTCTCTTTTTCAGATAATACCAAACCAGATCGAAGGGAACCCAAAAGTTGAGTGCAAAAGTCACGTATATCATCAACCCCATGAATACTTTCAGTGCTATTGGAAATCTGTGGAAATAAACGCACAATTAATATATTTCCACTCTTGGCAGAGTGGTCGAGGTCATTAGTTCAGGTGGTGGTACGCTTTAGAAGACGTCGTCATTCCTTGCGTACCCCGGTCTTAATTGTGCACTCGTTGACGAGACCATTTAGAGCTAGCTGCCTTTATTTGGTTGATCTAGTATANCCATGAATACTTTCAGTGCTATTGGAAATCTGTGGAAATAAACGCACAATTAATATATTTCCACTCTTGGCAGAGTGGTCGAGGTCATTAGTTCAGGTGGTGGTACGCTTTAGAAGACGTCGTCATTCCTTGCGTACCCCGGTCTTAATTGTGCACTCGTTGACGAGACCATTTAGAGCTAGCTGCCTTTATTTGGTTGATCTAGTATACAGCTGTAGGCCTTTTTTTTTTGGCCGAGGGCCGAACCTTCTACGAGGTCCCCGCGCGCCCCTTATGCGCGTATGTGAGCTTATGCGCGTATGTGAGACTCAACGATCTGCAGGTGTTGAGAGCAGATCGCGGGCCCAAGAATTTTAGGGCCCACCCACTAAACGACTCCCCTGCACTCTTACACCCGAGGTTCGATCCCCTCAGAGGCCAGAACCCGGATAATGTAGGGGGGCTACCGCGGTCAACACTACAACCAGACGGCGCGGCTCACCCCAAGGCGCATTCGAGGCGAATCGAAGGCTCTGAAACGTCGGCCGTCTCGGTACGGCAGCCCGTCAGGCCGTCCAGATGGTGCCGCTGGTCTCCCGGAATACCCGGTTGGACCAGAACAAGCCTGTCGGGTCGGGACGCGATACACCGCCAACCGGTAGCAGCAGAGTGCTGGTAGCGCGCTGGTAGCGCGGCCTCTACCCCCTCAGGTCCTTCTCCGGCCCCCGGCTCGGCGACGACGGATAGGTGCGGAGAGGGAGGAGCTCTCTCTCTCTCGTTCCGCCGCCTCCTTCTGCGAGATGGTGTTCTCGCAGAAGTCGAGCATCGCCTTCCAGGACACATCGCTGCCGAGCATCGTAGCCACGACGGTCGGCAGCGACAAGTCCGGTCCTATTTGCGATATAAGGACACAACTTTGCTCCAGCCATGCGGGGCAATGTGCGAGCGTATGCTCGACTGTAGCCTCCTCGCAGTCACAGTGGTGACACTCCATCGTCGGTTCCCTCGGGGTCATGCGATGCAGGTACCGGCCAAAATACCCATGGCCAGTAAGCATTTGCGTCAACCGGAAGGTGAGGCGCTCTTGGTCACGGTTCGCCCATTCCGCGAGAACCGGGCGTACCACCTCGACGGTCTGGAGACCGGCCGACCGGTTCGCCAAGAGGCGAGACCACGCCTCCAGCACATACAGCTTTAGGCCTGCCCTGAGGAATTGTTTGAGATGATACCATCATTTCGTTTTTGCTATCGCACCGCCCGCCACCGGAGTAGAGTTTATCCATACTACCTGGAGCCAATGCGTTCGTCCACAGTGCATTTCCAGAGATCTTTTTTGCCACATACCATTCGGTTTTGGAATAAGCTACCCTCCACGGTGTTTCTCGAGCGCTATGACATGCCCTTCTTCAAACGAGGCTTGTGGATAGTATTAAATGGGTAGGCAGCGGTTTGGCTGTGCCCTTGGAATTGCTGATATCCATAAGCGACGGTAACCACTCATCATCAGGTGGGCTGTATGCTTGTCTGCCTATAAGGGCAATAAAAAAAAACTAATATAAAGTCCAAAATCCAAAAAGTGGCTTCATCATTCGTTCATTACGCGTACACGTCTAATGATCAGTTTGTGAAACTGAATGTTCATAGTACTAACGGTTCCCAGGGGAAATTCAGCGTCACAGGAGACTTGGACAGCTCACCGTAGCCCCAATAGCCGAAGAATCCCACAGCCATGACCAGGACCATCACGACGCCCATCCCTGAAAGAAGAAAAAGTCCACACGCTCGGGGCGATCTTTATATCACTGCTGTATTGCTTTGTCGCTGATTTATTAACCTTAATATTTATAACATTTTAATAGAAATCATCACAGGTAGAAATAAGTGAATTGTTCAGACATACTCCCGTGACGAAACACGTACAAGCACCGGTTTCTCTGAATACTAGAAATCACCTTTATCATCAGCAACTAACCAAGTTATCTGTCGATACTTTAAGGCGGTCAGAATTTTCTTTTTTGTTTAGCTTATATGGATGGACGAGCTCACAGCCCGCCTGGTGTGAAGTGGTTACTGGAGCCCATAGACATCTACGACGTAAATGCGCCACCCACCTTGAGATATGTTCTCTAAGGTCTCAAGTATAGTTACAACGTCTGCCCCACCCTTTAAGCCGAAAGGCATTACTGCTTCACGGCAAAAATAGGCAAGGTGGTGGTACCTACCCGCGCGGACTCACAAGAGGTCCTACCACCAGTAATTACGCAAATTATAATTTTGTGGATTTGATTTTTATTACACGATGTTATTCCTTCACCGTGGAAGGCAATCGTGAACATTTGTTGAGTACGTATCTCATTAGAAAAATTGGTACCTGCCTTAGATTCGAACACCGGTACATCGCTCAACACGAATGCACCGGACGTCTTATCCTTTAAGCCACGACGACTTTAAAATTAATAATTTAATTTAAAAATACCTCCAAGTAATACCGCCGTAACTTTCTTCGGCTCCGTCATTGTGTTTTCGATTGCCATCGTGGCTCCCACCCCTTCCATGCTGAAGACACAGACCCCGATGAACTCGAACAGACCTGGCACCGTCTTGAAGACGGGCATCTCCAACGGACTGACGGTCGCGTGTTTGGTGCCATAGTAGACCGTCGCTACCGTTACTATCACTGATGGATTAAATATAGACTCTCATCGTCAAACGAACTACCAAGAATAATAGATAATGCACATTTATTTATTTTTTATTACTTAGATGAGTGGACGAGCTCACAGCCTAGCAAGTGGTTATTGGAGCCCATAGACATCTCCAACGTAAATGCGTCACCCACCTTCAGATATAAGTTCTAAGATCTCAGTATAGTTACAACGGCTGCCCGACCCTTCAGACCGAAACGCATTACTGCTTCACGGCAGAAATAGGCAGGGCGGTGGTACCTACCCGCGCGGACTCACAAGAGGTCCTACCAACACTAATTACGCAAATTATAATTTTTGCGGGTTTGATTTTTATTACACGCTGTTATTCCTTCAACGCGGAAGTCAATCGTGAACATTTATCGGTAAATCCCTTATAAAATACAAAAAAAAAACACAGCTGTTTAATCACAAGAGGAACTTACAGAAAAACACTACATTGAATTGGCATCACGAAATTATCATAACAACGCAGTCAAATAATACTGAATTTTAAAGGAGTTTTTATTGTTCTAAGATCCTCACATAAATGTTAATGATGTTAGTATTAATGAATCACACCAACCTTGAGATATGAGGCTTAAATCTCAATTGGACAGTCGTTTGACCCAATCAAACTAATATGGATGACTACGGCAGATATACTCCCAATACGGGGCTACCAATTCAGATTCAGCGGCTTGGCTCTGCCCCTGGCATTGCTGAAGTCCATGGGCGACGGTAACCACTCACCATCAGGTGGGCCGTATGCTCGTCTGCCTACAAGGGCAAAAAAAAAGATAACACGTACAGGAAACTTAATAGCTCGATTTTTTTTTGTATAGCTTAGCTGGTTGGACGAGCTCACGGCTCACCTGCTGTTAAGTGGTTAAAGGAGCCCATACACATCTACAACGTAAATACCGCCACCTACTTGGAGATATGAGTTTTGAGGTCTCAGTTTTAACAGTTCAACGTCTACCCTTCAAACCGAAAAACATTACTGCTTCACGGCAGTAATAGGCAGGGTAGTGGTACCTACCCGTGCGGACTCACAGGCGGGTGGCGCATTTACGTTGTAGATGTCTATGGGCTCCAGTAACCACTTAACACCGGGTGGGCTGTGAGCTCGTCCAACCATGTAAGCAATAAAAATATATATATATAATAATGTTTACTAGTTATTAAAAATCTGCACTAACTAGTATGTCCCAAAAACAATGTAACTCACAAATGAAAAAATCGGCTACAATCGAAAACGGCGCGAGATATTTCAGCGAGGTTATCATGCAGAGCAGAATGCAAGGCAGCAGCAGGGCTATTATGTAGATCCTTATGGCTGGACTGGAACCGACAGCCGAGTCCGTGGTCAGATCTGTACCCTCGACCAGTTGCTTGATCGTGCGAGCTATGACCACCTGTAAACATGAGACCACAGTCACCTGATGTCTTCACAAGTTTCTTCCAATTAAATTTGTTATTTAATTACAGGGTCATAAGTGACAAATCAGATATTTCAAAATATTTGTAAAGGGTAAGGAATTCCACAGAGACTAAAGTATTTTAAAATTTGAATCCTTGGAAATTGCCTCAAGATTACAGTGGGCCACGTCGCGTCGGATATACTGATGTGAAACTTAATTGGATTTTTTATCAGATGTTTAACCCTAATTTGTAAACTTGGACGTGGGCACTTTGCTACCGCCAAAAAGTCACAAAGCAACGTGAACTGACAATTGCGCTCTGTTATTTTGAAACAGCGACACGATAATCTATTTATCGTGATCATTCTCCAACTATACTCCAAGTGAGCTCACGCAGCAGTTAACCATCATCGATGCCCTGGATACGTCCTCACGGATCCTTCTAATCCAATCATAGTTAAAGGTACTAATAGCAGCAACCAGTGCCGGATTAAGCAAGCGCGGGGCCCGTGGCAAATTATTTCAAAGAGCCCTTGATCTACTATGGGTTCTTAAGTATAAAGTGGTAAAAAAACACTGTGCAGGGTAAGAGTGCTTGCATACGTCAGACTTTTTGTAGAGGTGATTATCAGGCTGATTGAAATTCTACACGTTTATACAAACAACTTTTTCTTAATAAGTCACTCAAAAAATTAAGCTCGGGCAGAGATGAGTAGGTTTAAATATGCGGGGCCCCCGTTCGCGCAGGGCCCGTAGTAATTGCTACTCTTGCTACATGGTTAATCCGGCACCGGCAGCAACCAAAGCAAAGGTTACCGTACTCGTCGAATGAGGAGTTCCATGTGAACTCTAAGTCCATAGCATTAGTTCGTTCAGTTGTTCGCTTATCTCAGCGGTCGGGGAACCGGGGTAAATTACCCCTAGTGGGGTAAAATGAAATTTTGGGGGGTAAAAATGAAACTTTTGTGAGTAAAAAGTTTGAAGTATTGAAGTGAAACTTCTTTAGAATTGTTGTGATTTCAAACTCGATGAAAGGAAATGAAACTAAACGAAAATATTTTAAACAAAAAAATTAATAATAATATTTTTTTCCCGAAAAAAAAAAAATTCCTTAAATTAAAAAAGCTTTTTTATATAAGCTACGTATAAAATTTAAACTATTTTTTTCGTTTAAAAATACAAGAAAAATATCATATGAATTATAAAATAACAAGAAATTATCATTTACTTATATTTTCTGTGGGGGCGATTTTTTTCCTCAACTGCTTATTACATATATGTATTACTATTATTACCGTTATGTATTACTAGGTATTACATTGATAAATTGAATAAATGATGTTTGAATTAATTTTTTAGTTATTGTTTTCTTTTCAAAATTATCATGGGGCTATAATATGAAAGATGCTAAAAAGAAGCGATTTCGATTTTTTTGTTCTTCGCCATGGGGTATTATCGACTAACACAAAAATATTTTGGGGTAATAATTAAAAAAGTTCCCCGACCGCTCGCTGGCTTATCTCCTTAGCGTGATCTTTTTTTGGTATATAAATAGTTAGTATTGGTTGGTATTGATAGTATGGTATAAATTAGTTGGTATTGTAATCGGAAAATGAGCGTACATCCCCATTTCAGAATATAATCCCAAAGCTTTTTTTATTATTATTGTCCTACTATGTGTGAAACCTATATAGTACAAAAATACCTTACCTGATAAACGCAACAGGCCCCAAACAAATCCATCGTAATAGTTAAATCGACCAAATATCTGAAAAAACGTCTCAGTGTAAAAAAATATTATCTTCCAAGATTTGCTTTGAAATATTGCGATCTTGCGATTGCGAATATTTGAATATGCGACCATCGATATTTTACACAGTATTATTTAACGGGTTCTTCCAATTATTTTTTGTGATATATAGCGAAACTATATATGGGTCTATAGCTTTTGGCATCTTCTCAATCGTTTCCCTATTGGCAGGGTGGTCGCGATCGTCACGTAGTCTTGGAGGGGGCAAATATGACACGTCTCATTTCATGGTCACATTTCTCCCTGCTCGAGACCTTTCTACTGCACTCATTTAGGGGATCCCTTAGAATAGGATCCTTAAAAGCCCTCAAATAACGGAGCGTATTCAACACCACTTTGCTTGGACATTCACACACAGTGAAAGGCAATAACAACAGCGTTCTTTTGAAAAGTCTAAGGAATGCAATAATACTGAATTAGGCATACCAACATAGACATACCAATCAATCTGTTATCATCTTATTATATTAATTTGAAAATTTTAAAGTGCTACCCCAATAATATAATGAAGTATTCAAGCTAGGTGTGGCAGTCAAATTCGGTTTTAAGCAAAAACTTTATGTCCGCTACGGAAAATAAATAAACACGCAGTCTACCGGCTTGGTGTTCCTTACAGCATCGCTCAATCATCTTGACCACATTAAAACTATTTATCATGGTAATGGTATTTATCATGGTATGGTATCATCATCATGGTATTTAAGGTAAGAAGCCATTAGATAATAGTGCAAGTCATAGGACCTTGGTACAGTTGTTGGTCAATGTCAGATTAAACGTTTTCCGACAGACACAGCGCACTGAGTTTTTCGCTGGATCGTGATTCCAATACGGTGGTAGATTCAGTGAAGCACTGCTCTTGCCAAGGTCAGTGTTAGGAGATCTCTCAGGTTGAGCCCCATGAGCTCACCTACCGGTCCGCGAGTAGTTGTAATAGACCCTATGGCTGCCAACGATTAGATAGGGGAAAACATACCCTTTTTAATGAATGTAAGGCTCAAGAAGCCAAATATATTTATTTTGATAGTCACGGCCACTCGTACATACAGAAGATGGGTTTTACTGGGGAGGGTCTTTTAATTCATTGTCATACATAATTGTTGATAACCATTAAAGACGCGAAGGTTTTACTTTCAGGAACTTTTTTAAGAGTGATTCTCCGAGCCCTAAATTATCGATGTCTTGAGGTTTATTTTTGTAACTAACTGACAAATCAGTCTGCAATTAATTTTAAAACAACACCTATATGACTGATTTTTCTAACTAGAGTTTCATTTCTATCCCTAATTCTGATTCATATGGCCCCAAAAATTTTAAAGTTCATTCTCTCGAAAACCATTTTATCAAAAAGTGTGCCTTTTTCAGAAATTGTATCTTAGGTTATCATCTTTCGTAAAAATATGTTTTATAAGCTTAAATGTAACAAAAAAAATACTAATTTTATCGATAGAATGATTATTAATTATTCTAATCTAGCTTATTATAACCTAAATGATGAGTAGCATTTAAAAATGTTTTACCGAAAACACTTGCTGTATTTCCTCATGTTGTCCCAGGGTCCAACGGCTAGGGACGCTTCAGCCAGATCAGGATATGACAATGCAGGTACTTGGATTTTGCCATATATCCTCTGAGCAGAGCGTGCCAGCATCTTCAACCATTTTTCATTATTAGTTTTATACTCTTAAAATTTCCAATATACTGGAATAAAGGAGAAGCTTGGAGCATTCATGATACTGTTACGCGCTGGGGTTCGGGATAAACAAAATTCCACCGAAGTATAAACTAAACAACACTTAAAACACTTCACAATCACCTTAAAAATCTCAATTCGCTTCTTCCGCTTCGCTTCAGGTGATCCGTTTGCTGTTTCGCTTCGAGTAGTTCCGATTACTGACTGACTGCGTGCCATCTTTGCAACGCTTTTATAGTCGAGACGAATTTCCTAGAATCGTCGCGAATAATCCACACAAGTCCAGTATCGTATTTCCGCTATCCGACAATAGATGGCGTTGTACATGTTCAGCGTTCTAGATGTTACTAGATCCTTCAGTATTCGTTCGACGATTCGGCGATAGATGGCGTTACTCTTACCGGCGTAACAATACCATATATACTCATGTCTAGGCCAGTGTCCAATTAGATTATACTCCAGGGTTTCAATCTGGTTGATACAATATTTCCTAAGTAGCATACTTTTCAATGACAGCTCTAACGGCTGCCCCACTCTTCAAATCGGAGCACGATAGTTCAAATCGGAGCACGATACTGGTTTCCGGGGGGAAATACGCAGGATTATGCTACCCACCCCTGCGGGAAAGACGCTCTCCTCCTGGCATCGTGTTCCTCAGTGCTGAGTGTCGTGACCTTTACGGAGCACTATTGTTCGGACTATGTTCCTCCATCCTTCCTGTCCTCTGCGTAGTGGATAGCGACATAGATGCTGGAGTCCGACGTCATCTTAATTCGATCGAACCAGCGCATAGGACTACGCCCCCTTGGTTTCTTTCCTTCTAATTTGCCGATGATTAGTAGTTTTTCGTGATTGTCGCAACGTGAGCGAAAAAACCTCGAAAACCCTACTTAGGCAAGGATTGATCGCCACTGATAATGCAAATTCAATTTGCTTGTTTTGATTTTTATCAAACGGTATTATGACATTCTTAATTATGTCATTCGGGAACACGTAATTCAACAGAAAAAAAGATTTTGGTTCCTTTTCTATGCGATCTTTTGTATCGCTTCACATGAGTACGACAGGTGTTTTATCGTGTAGACAACGAGGACTTTTCAGTACCTCCTACGAGTTTACACCACGTCTATTCAAAGTCAATGTATTGTGATCCTGTAATACCAGCAGCTTTAAGTATTTTTAGTACTCTTTTATTAATTGTGTCACCGGCAGTGACCGGCAGTACGGTTTCCGTCATTGTCGCTTAGCTGGCGATCTTCTTGTATACCTCACACATAAATGGGCTGAAGCCTTGGAAAGTAAGGGCGAGGCTCTCGCTGTGAGCCTTGACATCGCGAAGGCCTTCGACAGGGTCTGGCATGGCGCACTTCTATCGAAGCTTCCAGCATACGGGATCCCTGAGGGACTCTGCAAGTGGATCGCTAGCTTTTTGGATGAACGGAGCATCACAGTTGTCATCGACGGCTGCTGCTCCGATACCATGACCATCAACGCTGGTATTCCACAAGGTTCGGTGCTCTCCCCCATGCTTTTCATACTGCATATCAATGACATACTATCTATTGATGGCATGCATTGCTACGCGGATGATAGTACGGGAGATGCGCGATATATCGGCCATCAGAGTCTCTCTCGAAGCGTTGTACACGAGAGGCGATTAAAACTTGTGTCTGAAGTGGAGAACTTTCTGGGGCGGGTCTCCAAGTGGGGTGAACTGAATTCAGTTCAGTTCAACCCATTGAAGACATAGGTTTGCGCGTTCACTGCGAAGAAGGACCCTTTTGTCATGGCGCCGGAATTTCAAGGAGTATCCCTGCAGCTTTCCGCGAGTATCGGGATTCTGGGGGTCGATATTTTGAGCGATGTGCAGTTTCGGAGTCATTTGGAAGGTAAAGCCAAATTGGCCTCTAAAATGTTGGGAGTCCTCAACAGAGCGAAGCGGTATTTCACGCCTGGACAGAGACTTGCGCTTTATAAAGCGCAGGTCCGGCCTCACGTGGAGTACTGCTCTCACCTCTGGGCCGGGGCTCCCAAATACCAGCTACTTCCATTTGACTCCATACAGAAACGGGCTGTTCGCATGGTCGATAGTCCTGCTCTCACGGATCGCTTGGAACCTCTGGGTCTACGGAGGGACTTCGGTTCTCTCTGTGTTTTATACCGTATGGTCCATGGGGAATGCTCTGAGGAATTATTCGAGATGATCCCCTCATCTCCTTTTTATCATCACACCTCCCGCCATCGGAGCAAAGTTCATCCATATTATCTGGAACCAACCGCTGCGTTCATCGACAGTGCGTTTCCAAAGATCTTTTTTGCCACGTACCATTCGGCTTTGGAATGGTGTTTTCCGAGCGCTATGACATGTCCTTCTTCAAAGAGGCTTGCGGAGAGTACTTTATGGTAGGCAGCAGCTTGGCTCTGCCCCTGGCATTGCTGATGTCCACGAGCGACGGTGACCACTTACCATCAGGTAGGCCGTATGCTCGTCTGCCTACAACGACATTTTTTTTTCTTTTTCATACGTATGTTAGTTAGTATGTAACGGAATCTTTGATCGTGATTTTGGCCCCCTTCAAAACGTCAGATAAACTCGAAATTTGCCGTTCTTATCAGGGACCGATGACAATTCACGGTGTTTTTACAATAAATTAATTTTCTATTCTTTAATTGAATTTTCTATAAAAGTGTTTTTTTTTAACCTACTATTTAATTGTCAAGCGATCGATACTTGAGCCTCGGCGTCACAGCTAATATCTCACACTGTAACTGAATTGCCTTTAATAGATCTCATTCTACTCCAGTTGGCGTTACTTGGGGCCGTCATCTCGAATTGCTCATCTCAAAACGTTTACTCTTCCAACAGACACCACAGGGCACGCTTGAAATATCCGGAGAAGATTCGTAAATTTAAAACCGTTTCTACTTACATACATGCAATAAGCGACACAGAAGCCCAGGAAGAAGTTTAGTACGAAAGCTGTCCATAGACCGCATTGCTTATACGATTCGTGTATGGCCACGATCCCTCCGCCGAGGCAACTTTTGATTAAATGCCCTATAGATTCTATTACGCTGAAAACAATAATATATACGAGTATATAGGTAACGACAGCATAGCTTAATACCATTTTCCTCATCTCTCTCTTTATCTCTACCTGTCTCTCTCTCTCTCTCTCTCTCTCTCTCTCTCTCTCACTTCCCAGTTATATATCCCACTTTTTATTTATTTTTTATTTATGTACACACCATAAAGAAAACATAGTTCAGAGTAATAGGAAAATTATGTACAAAGACATTGCTTATTTCTTTAAGAAATCTCTTCCAGCAGACCTGCGAGAGGACTATGAGAATAATAATTAAAAGTGATGAGTGTGCGTAGAACAGCTAAAATCACAAATACAACATGAGAATTATAGTAATGCACATACACATAGCAAATATTGTTAAACTTGAATACAAAATATTATAAGTAACACAGTATATACGAAGAGTATAGAACAATGATCATTCGGTTGATGAGAGATAGAATTGTTTGACCTTGTATTTAAAAACAGAAACAGACTTGCAAACTCGGATGTCAGCCGGCAATGAATTCCACAGTCTTACCGCGAAAGTTGACCCCACTACACCACATGGTAGTGGGGTCAGCTTTCCTTACTTTAGTCCTTCACTTCACTCTGTCTTCGACATCCTCGTCAACTACATTGCATTCCCTTTTATCCTTCAGCACTACATCCTTCTCTCTATCTCTACCTCCCTCACTCAAAATAACTCATGTTACTAAATGACCTATTACAGGTAATCCTCCTATAAGATACGTCCTACAAAGACCCGTGTTGTGCGAAAACGCGTTATATGAGACTAGAAGTCAGTACAAAAATAAGAGTATTTTTTCTAAATAAAACATCTCAATTATGCCTGTATGTAATTCTTACCTATCAAACATAAAAAATATTCAGTGAAATTTCGGTTATTCCCATGCATCGTGTGTTAATAGTGGATAATGTAATTACCTAAATAATTTTAAACAAAAATCGAGTAATCGTGTTGTTGAAGTACTCTGTTATAGGAAGGTTACCTGTATCACCTATTATCGTTATTACCTATTACGTATTATTTGCATTGATAAAATGAATTCAGTATTTCAATACGGCCTAATTCGTCTCTAACACACAAGACTGTCATTAAAATTGTTTAAAACAAAAAAATTCATAGTACATACTTGGTAGTCTTGGCTGGCGGTCTTGCTTTGGTAAAATCATAATTCTTAGCGGCTTCCCCGGTGGCTTTTAGTTGATATTTCGAAGTCGAGTCAGATGGAGCCTAGAAATTATGATTTTTTTTATTTTATTTTATTTGTGTACCTCTTTTGTTATTGCTTAGATAGGTGGACGAGCTCACAGCCCACCTGGTGTTCAGTGGTTACTGGAGCCCATAGACATTTACAACGTAAATGCTGCCAACCATCTTGAGACATAAGTTCTAAGGTCTCACGTTTTACAGTTCTTCTATAGGCTATAAAGTTTATTTTTTATTTTTTTTATTATTGAGACATTATTGATTGCCAGGAGGCCTTCCCAGTTTCACCAGGACAGGTGGGCGTGCAAAGGCTCAGCCAGAAGGGGTGGGATTTGCTAACAACTGCGCGAGAGCCTCCGAAGGAGACCTAACAACTCAAGAGCAATTGCTTCGCGAATGAGTCTACTACCGAATCGGAATCGCGACCCGATAAGAAGATCCGACGAGAAACTCAGCGGCCTGATGTATGGGTTAGGTTGCACGTGGCCTCTTTGTCGAGTTCGACGAGTACGGTTTCCGGGGTTCCTAAGCCTACTCCTAGTGTTAGAGCGGGTGGGTTCCACCACCCTGCCTATTTCTGCAGTGAAGCAGTAATGCCACATGTACAGCTGTTGTAACTATATTTGAGACCTTAGAACTTATATCTCAAGGTGAGTGGCGCATTTACGCTGTGGATGGGCGTCTATGGGCTCCAGTAACCACTTAACACCAGGTGGGCTGTGAGCTCGTCCACAAATACAAGCAATAAAAAAAAAACTAAAGACGTCTAATGCAAAGGTAATTGGATCTGATGGATCTGTAAGGACGTGTCTAGGGCGTCGACGGTGACTGGCTCCTGCGTGATCAGGATTCGGGGAGTAGCCAGCGGCGGCAACGATAAGGCGATTATCATGACGCATAGCCTTATCGAAGTATACTATAAAGTAATTTGGTGCCGTAGTACTAATCTTCTTCTTAGTCGTGTCACTCTTGACAGAGTGGTCGTGATCGTCATGTAGTGTTGGAAGGGGCAGACTTGATGCGTCTCACGATGTCGCGCCATCTCTCCCTGCTCGAGGCCATTCTACTGCACTCATTTAGGGGACCTCCCACTGCAGTTTTAATTTGGTCGGTCCACCGCATTGGTACTAATACCGATTTCATAATTTCCAACAAGTTTTTATTACACGTCTGTTTAAGTTGAAAATTGGGTAGGGGGGCAGTTACGTGCCCCCTTGGAGTATTTTTTCGCCACGAATTATACTTAGAAAAAAAAAAGCAACAACTACCTATCAAAACGAAAGGAAAACAAGTATCCGGTTTTTGAAAACTGTGAAACCATATTTTCCGGCTTAATCACACTACATTCCTTTAACAATAATCATTTAATAAATATTATATTAAAGGAACACCTGCACGTGTTTCTAGACATTCACTCTTAACATTCTCATTGAAACACATTTGGATGTACATTATATTATTTAAACAACAAATTTATTAAATGAAAATTACCAACGTTATTGTATTTATTGAATAAACTTATAATTTATTTTAATTTTAGGCGAAACGCTTCGGATTACACGCTTCCCACTTGAAACACAACAAATGTTTATACATCTTTTATTTGTTATTAATAATGCGTAATACGAACTGAATTTGAATAAATTCATGAATAATAATGAATAAATTGCATAAATTCGCTTCTCTCTCTCTCTCTCTCTCTCTCTCCCAGCTATTTATCCCACATGGTGGTGGGATCAGCTTTCCTTATTTTACTCCTCCACTTCGCTCTGTCTTCGGCATTCTCGTCAGCAACATTGCATTCTCTCTTGTCCTTCAGCACTACGTCCCTCCACCTTGTCTTGGGTCTACCTCTAGGTCTCCGACCGGGGAGGTCGAGCAGTAGCGCCAAATTTCCGACGTAGTCAGGCGGCTTCCTTTTCACGTGACCATACCATCTCGGCCTACTCTCCTGCATCTTGTCGGCGATGTCCCGTACACCTAGACTTCCACGCACGTACTCTTTGCGGATTTTATCGAGCCTAGTCACGCCGCACATCCACCTCAGCATTAAATTCGCTTAATTAAATTCAACATTTTCTTTGATTGAATTCATTGTCTGAATAATTTCTAATTGTTCAGAGTTTCTCGCCGGATCTTCTCAGTGAATAGCCTCTAAGGCTACCGAGGAATAAGTATATATTTTTTTTCTTTTTCACAGTTTCTCTCTCGGCTTTGAATTTTTGGATCGCTATTCTTTGCTTCTTGGTAGCATGTTTTGTTTTAATTTCTGAGGTAGGTGGATTGACTCAAATCACATGCACAACACGCTTTGAGACATGAGTTCTAAGTTCTCAGTTTTTACAGGACAATGAAAAACTGCACCAGCCTTCAAACCGAAACGCGTTACTGCTTCACGGCAGAAATTGACAGGGTGGTGGTACCTATCAGTGTTGGCTCACAAGACACCTTACGGCCAGTTAAGATGTTTCAGAGCCATTTTATTTGGCGATCTCTATGGAACCGTAGGCAGTTCACAGAACTCAATAAATCTATTTCCTTTTTATTTTATTGAAGTCGTCGTGGCCTAAAAGATAAGACGTCCGGGGCATTCGTATTTAGCGATGCGTCAGTGTTCGAATCCCGCAGGCGGGTACCAATTTTTCTAATGAAATACGTACTTGACAAATGTTCACGATTGACTTCAACGGTGAAGGAATAACATCGTGTAATAAAAATCAAACCCGCAAAATTATAATTTGCGTAATTACTGGTGGTAGGACCTCTTGTGAGTCCGCACGGGCAGGTACCACCACCCCGCCTATTTTTGCCGTGAAGCAGTAATGCGTTTCGGTTTGAAGGGTGCGGCAGCCGTTGTAACTATACTGAGACCTTACAACTTATATCTCAAGGTGGGTGGCGCATTTACGTTGTAGATGTCAATGGGCTCCAGTAACCACTTAACACTAGGTAGGCTGTGAGCTCGTCCACCCATCTAAGCAATAAAAAATTGATTACTAGCTGAGTGAGCTGTCTCTTAAATCGACTCAAGTGAATCAGTTGTCTCGTAAACAGCTTTTCTATTTCTACGATCAGACCATAGCGCATAATTGTTTCACGGCAGTTTGTATATTAACATTAGTATTATGGGTCTTTTGAATAGTCACCGGGTAGGCATAATTTATGCGTATTTCTGTCGCGAAGTAATAATGCGTTTCGGCTTGAAGGGTGCGGCAGCCGTTGTAACTATACTGAGACCTTAGAACTTTTATCTTAAGGCGGTTAGGGATGGCATTTACGTTTTTTTTTATTGTAGGCAGACGAGCACACGGCCCACCTGATGGTGAGTGGTTACCGTCGCCCATGGACTTCAGCAATGCCGTGCCGTTGATGACTTCTGTGTACTCCGGTAACCAGTTAAAGCCAGTTCGGCCGTGAATTGTCTAAGTAATAAATAAACACCTTCATTGTTTCCGAGAGTGCGTGTGGATGGATCACAATTACCTTAGAGTCTTAGAGATTATCGGGTAAAGAACCCGGACCGCGTTTACTTCTCAGGAGCATTCGTCGACTCAATCATCTGACCCCGGACCCCTAATACTAAATAGTACTTTAGGATTATGGAAATGGTAGTGCAAGGTAGAGGGAATACCGAAGAAGACATGGATGGAGTGTGCAATTGACGATATGAGAGAGAGAGGAGTGAGTGTTGAGATGACGGCTGATAGAAGAGAATGGAATAGGAAAATTAGCTGTGCTGACCCCACCTAGTGGGATAATGTGGAGAAAAAGAAGAAGAGACTATGATTCTCATCTAGATCTGGATTAAGTGAATTATAACTTACATTCGTGTTAGCCATTGCCTAAGGTATCACGAAACGTTCACTCGTGAACAAATTTGAGAGATAATTATTTTCGACAACTAAGAGTTAAGTATATCAGATACATAGCAAACAAAAAACATTATTATAAGAAAAGAAAAATGCAGTAATCAGAAATGACGTTTCTAGTCAAAATCATATATTTAAAGAATATCATACAGAAATAAGTATATATAATTTTTTAATATCTCTATGACCGTCGTCCGAAAAGATTTTAAAGGCGCCCGTGGACTGCAGTACAGGAGCAAAACCGTTATGTATAGAAGTAAAAGAGCCGTCCTTGAAATCGGAACGACATGTATTGCAAAAATGTAAATTTGGGAAAGTACCGTAAAATCCAGCTTGAATCAACAGTTTTTGTGTTTCTGAAAGTCGAGTTCACTTAAGTATATAATAATATGTATATAGATATATTTTTTATTAATAACAAAATAGTTTTCGTACACTAGTGATGATACCGCTAAAAATACAATTGTATTGCTTTGTTACGAAAATTATTTTCTTACTACGTCAATATTATAAACATTACGTGAATACAACTCTGGTCACCGTCCTCGCCGACCACGTCGCTTGCGACGAAGGGCTCGACGAGTAAATTAACCCATAGACACAGCCCACTGAGTTTCTCGCCGAATCTTCTCAGTGGGTCGCGATTTAGATCCGGTGGCAGATTCTGCAAAGCACTGCTCTTGCTAGGGCCGTGTTAGCAACCCTTCCCCTTTGAACCCCGTGAGCTCACCTACACGCTAGGGTGAAGGTGAAATAGCCTCTCACGGCTATCAGCATATTTAGGAAAGAAAAAAAGGTATAGGGCACCCACCGTGATTGGGTTTCGAATCGTAATTCATCTAACAACAAAAATCCCAATTTTCAATTTGGAAAACTACTCGACAGAAATATACTAGTTAAAACCAGTAATTTAGTATCAGAAAATAATTTGGTTTTATCTAAATAAATGTTTAATAGCGTTTGAAGCATTATCTTTGAAGAAATGAAATATTTTTATTGGCTGAATTCACTAACCGTTAACCTCATCTATGACATTATTCCGAATTATAATCTATGTATATATATATATAAATGAATTTCTGTTCGTTGGTCTCGCTAAATCTCAAGAATGGCTGGACCGATTTGGCTAATTTTGGTCTTGAATTATTTGTGGAAGTCCAGAGAAGGTTTAAAAGGTAGATAAATATTAAAATGCTCGGAATTAAATAAAAATAACAATTTTGTTTTCCCTTTGATGTGTCTCCCGTCAGACGGATTTCTTTTGTTTTATACAAAAGTTTAGGTCTTTTATTCATCAATTGAGGCACTACGAAGTCTGCCGGGTCAGCTAGTACTAAATAAATAGTTAAAACAAAAATAAAACCACCCGTTTAATGTATTTACAAACATTAATCATTTATTTAAGACAAAAATATCACCTTCGCATTACATTATGTAGAAGGCACGGAATTTCGTAAAAGCGTTCACAAATTTTGTACAAATATTTGATTCGTTTGTAATTTTATAAATAACACAATTAATTGAAACAGGCACTTGATCCAGATGTCGACTACAAATAGTTTGAATTCAATTATTTCTATTGATTTCATAAAAGATACAAATCTAATTTGTAATGAATCAATGCGTTCCGATCACTGTTTCAGCTGATGTATTATTTTTTGTACGATAAAAGTGATTCCTTGAAAATCAAGGGTATCTACAATAAATTTCATAATACACAATTACATAAAATTAATTCGAACTACGCATAGTATAGTGGTGCTTATTAAAAAACTATATTGTTTAAGACTAATTCGATTAACACAAATTTAGAACAACAACTGACAGCGTAATGTTTGAGCGGGAATCAATTGACCGTTCAACTTGGGTGCGTTATAGGAAGAGATCGAAATATATTTCCCTCTCTCTCTCTCTCTAACACAAGCGTTACATGTTGAAATTGTATGGATTATCATGATATTTGAAACGAAATTTCCAGAAACAACTTTATTTTATGAAATCTCTTTTAAACATAAACTATTTAAAAAAAACTAATTTTTAATCACCATTGGCGGATGAAATATGAAATGAAATTAGAAGACAATTGTAATTCAGCCCTTTTAAAAACCTAACAATATTGAAATTTGACTAAAACACGCTAATTCGGTTTTTGTTCTAAAAACGCGATTAATTATTAATACACTGTAAGACTAGTTGATTATATTTCTAAATTAAAAAAAAAAACGTTCATATGGAAGATTTTTCCGAAGCACCTCATTGGAACTGGTAGGCACATATTTATTTATAAACTATTACAAAAAAAATTTTTTCTTATTTGAGATATTCGGTTGTAAATATGGCAGCTGCGACACTCGTTATTATAGCTACTGTTATTTAGCTAGGTAATTTAAGTGTTATGCTATTTTATAGGATATTTTTCAGTTATTATTAAAACGCGTAGAAAAAGTAAGATTTGGATTGCCTAGTGTAGTTTTTTAAACTTCTTATGATCAAATTTACCCGGTAAGTCTTTCTGTGGCTCCGTTTAAACTTTAATTACCTCAGCGAATTAGCATTGGAGACTCATATCACCTTCTCAGATATATATGTGGTTTCAAAACAGTTAAATTTCTTAAAACAGAGCAATGTATATCGACAAAATAAAAGCTATATGGCTTAAGCGATATTTTTGCAATTTTACAGGAGAGCCATTTATAGTTTAAAATGCGAAAAAAACAATTCATAACAAAAAAACTTCTTTAGCTGTTTAGAGTAAGCTTCAATTTCAAACATCGAATTTTTTGATGCTAATCTCTATACCTATATAAAAATGAATTGCTGTTCGTTAGTCTCGCTAAAACTCTAGAACGGCTGAACCGATTTGGCTAATTTTGGTCTTGAATTGTTTGTCGAAGTCCAGAGGAGGTTTAAAAGGTAAACAAATATGAAAATTCTCGGAATTAAATAAAGTTTAGGTCTTTTATTTATCGATTGAGGCACTACGAAGTCTGCCGGGTCAGCTAGTACTGAATAAAACGTACCTTTATTTACTACAAAAATAGGTAAATGTCGATTAAACCAAATAGCTTTCGCCCTTCGATATGGTCTTAAAGGCAGTTAGAGTTAGTTCAAATTGCAATCATGTGTTGTATACATTAAGAGCGTTTCAAGAATTTTTTCCTTTCGAATAATTTTATAACGGTGTTGCCAATTACTGTTTAAAATTTTGCCTAAAACGATTTCGTGCGACGGTATTAATGTTGACCATTGATTTATATCGAGTCAGTTTTTTATATCAGCCTCATGCAACACCATAGATTTTGATAAGGCACGGCTTGCTTACGGAAACTGAACTAATCAATGTAGCACATAGAAATTTTAAATTAATAATTATCCGAGCTCTCTATCGAAAATTTAAGTACAATTAATTTTGTTAATTCAATTAATTTCGTGTAAAAAAAAAAACTTTACATAGATTTTTTTTCAGACACGTCGAGTTCGGCCCGGTCCTCCTTGTTGACATTGTTATTGTTTACAGACTAAAAATTAATATGTGATTCTTAAATACGCTTTGGTAATAATTACCTTCTATTAAAAACTAAATGAGAAGAACTAATTATATATATTAAAACAATTACGATACACGTCATTTAAAATGTAATTTATGAATATTTATAATTAAATTGTTTTGAATGATGATAAAATCGTTTGTTTAGTAAATGCTTAGTACATTAAATGATTTTAGAGATTATCATGAATTTTAATAAACTTTAAAAAAAACGTTAGATTTTTTTTGTCCAGTTTTGTGTGTTTTTAGGTACACAATGTTTTCGCCTATATAAAAATTAAAACTAACATTCAATAGAACAAATCAAAGTAATAATAAAGTATTTACATAATATATTATGTATAAATAAACATAAAAAAATGGTTCGCCTATTAATTTAATTAAATAATTCTAATCAAAATAAAAGCTGTTTCGTGAAAATGCATAGTGTTTTATTTTTTTGTTAACATTATAAATACGGAATTTTTCAGTGGTCATCTTTCCCGATTAAGTAGCATTGCATTCTCATCGTTTCTTAAATTATATCAATTAAAATAAAATATTCCTTATTTACTGTACATTAATAAGATTGTTGAAAATGAAGGGAGCTAGATCCCGAATAAAACCGAAGCGTAATTTATTTTTTTCGATTAAGAGAAAAAAAAACATCCATTATTATTCGTATTTCATGGGCTGAACGTTTTAAATTGGGGAATAGGTATGTATTTATTATGACACGCCAGACTAAAATACATTCTGTCTTGACATCGGTTTGACAGATTTGACATTGACGTACACTGACAGTTCGAATTACAGCGAACGTTTAGAAAACCCGAAACGTCAAACCACAAAGTGAAATAGCGTTTTAAAAAAAAGCGATATTCGTAATTTTAACAGCATGCTAGAAACTAGACAAAGGACAACAGCGCAAGAAGCTACGAAGTGTAAGAAAAAAAAAAACATACCCGATAAACGGGAATATATTTTAATAGTTACTAACAATAAATAAGTTAGGCTAGGGCTGTTGTTAGATTAAAACATCCGGACTAAGAGATACATCACGAATGAAGACAGGATCGAGGAGGTGAAACGATTGGAGTTACCGTTGCTCAAGTTGCCGCCGAAAACTGAAAAAAAAAACGTCATTACAATTCACTGTCAAGAGCAGTAATCAAATTAATTGATCTCGGGACTTTTTGGCGGGAACGCGTGGAGCCAAGTAGCGTGAATTGCTTTATTTTGTCTATTTAGTGTTTCTTCAGGTTTAAATGTGTAACAACGGCGGTTTATTAACGATTTAGTAGTGCACAAATGTAGGAAAATGAAACAAAGCCGCTGGACGTAACTTCTCGGGATCCGCCAATAAGTCCAGTGAAAAAGTATCAGTACTTAAATAATCACCATTTTACTGAGATTATATTTCATCCCATATCATCTCACTTCATCTCATTTCATTTAATTTCATACCAATTGATTAATGTTTCAAATTAATCAATTTCATTTTATTTCACTCCATGACAGTAATGTAGTATCTATATTGAACTCAGAATAGGTAGAGATATTAGGTCGAATATTCACGATTTCAACTTTGTAAATTGTAATTATTTATAATAACTAATAGTAATAATAATAGCTGGGATCAAACCACGCACGGTTATCCGGTACCAATTTAGGATTCCTAGTGTTATAGATACCGGACACTGATACACATACTTATATACGTTTAAATATACACATATATAGCTAATAAATACAGAAAAATAGGAAGCAAATGTTTGCCCGACGTGGGAATCGAACCCGCGACCCACGGCGCAACAGTAAGGGCGGGCGACTAATGCACCATAGGGTCAGTCAATTAATAAGCCGGTGAATTAATGATTATATTAATTGATGTAAATACTAGTCTGAAGTATAAGTATTGGGAAATATACTCATAGTTTATAGTCATACTCATATATAGTTAGATATTAGGGGAGGCTAATGTTGTCTGGAAACACGGTGAGATATGTTAAATTTATTATTCTGCTACTTATGTATGTTATATTCAAAAAACAAACACAAAATAATTGAAAATATAATTACCTGAAGCAGACCGGATGCTCGATTCTTCTGTTGATGTAAAATGAAAGAAAAAAAGCCAAAATAAAATCATATTTCAAACAATAAAAAAAATGGCGATAGTAAAAAGGACCTCTTGTGAGTCCGCACGGGTGGTACCACCACCATGCGTATTTCTGCCGTGAAGCAGTAATGCGTTTCGGTTTGAACCCGTCGCTTGCGACAAAGGGCTCGACGAGTAAATTAACCTACAGACACAGCCCACTGAGTTTCTCGCCGAATCTTCTCAGTGGGTCGCGTTCAGATCCGGTGGTAGATGATGATGAGAGATGATAGACTGCTCTTGCTAGGGCTAGTGTTAGCAACGTCGTCCAGTTTGAGCCCCGTGAGCTCACCTACTAGTTAAGGTTACGCTGAAATAGCCTCTCAAGGCTATCAATCAGACTAGGTACGAAACAAAAAAAACGGGTAAAGTTGCAAAAGTGTTGCTTAAAACAAATACCCTTATCACCCCTCGACTCAAATTCAAACTCAAAATCATTTATTTCAAGTTAGATGTCAGTATAACACACTTGTTGAATGTCAAAATATAAATAAAAATGTTAACTCTAGCACCGGTTCCAAAAAGAGCCACAGTCCTGAGAAGAACCGCCGAAACAAACTCAGCGGGTTTTTCCATGATTTTGACTTGATTTCGTACTCACCGACATCGACGGTTACGGGTTCAGGGGCGCTGCCCCAGCTGTGGGTGTTTCTGGCCTTCACCATGACCTCGTATTTCCCGGCCTTGACGTCGTTCTCTATTCTGTGCACGATCTCGTAACGGTGACCATTCGGCTTTGGTAGCGGCACATTGTAGCGTATCCAGCTGGAACCGGCCTGGGGAGGGTTGGTAGTTTGGACCATCAGTAGAATTCTGGTAAGCTGTCGTGGTCTAAAGGATGAGATGCTGGGTATACGCGTATCGAGCGATACGACCGTGCTGATGTTCGAATCCCACCCACCAAAAGTATGGTCAGCAGAAACTAATGAAATACGTACTTAACAAATGTTCGCGATTGACTTCCACGGTGAAGGAATAACATCGTGTAATAAAAATCAAACACGTAAAATTATAAATTTGCGTAATTATTGAGGGTAGAACCTCTTGTGAGTCTGCACGGATAAGTACCACCGCCCTGCCTATTTCCCTGACCTTAGAACTTTTATCTCAAGGTGGCTGGCAACTTTTACGTTGTAGATGTCTGTAGGCTCCAGTAAGCAGTTAACAACAGGTGGGCTGTGAGCTCGTCCACCCAACTAAGCTTTAAAAAAAAAATCAATTTCATCGTTATGGTAATAGTAGCCATTGTGTAGTCTTACCGCATTGAGAGGCTTAAGTTGAAGCTCCAATTCTTCGAGAGGCTGGTGAGACTGAACCGTCCACGAGACCTTGGGTCCGTCGGCTAAAACGTCTTCAACCACGGGGCTTTGTACAAGCTCAATGGATCTGTTGTGCTTGCCATGAAGATTTTCCGCCTGAAAGTTAAAAGATGAGTATTATTGGAGAGAAAAGTTAGGTGGTCTTTTGCGATGTATTTACTGGTGGTAGGATCTCTTGGGAGTCCGCACGGGTAGGAACCACCCCGCCTATTTCCGCCGTGAAGCAGTAATGCGTTTCGGTTCGAAGGGTGGGGTAGCCGTTGTAACTATACTGAGATCTTAGAACTTATATCTCGAGGTGGATGGCGCATTTACGTTGTAGATGTCTATGGGCTCCAGTAACCACTTAACTCCAGGTGGGCTGTGAGCTCGTCCATCCACCTAAGCAATAAAAAAAAATTTCATATAACTGCTCTTTGTCTGGATTTTTTGCAACTTCACAGGAGAGCTATTTAAAGTTTAAGACTTGGAAAAAAATATCATAACAAAAACACTTCTTCAGCTATTTGGATCATCATCATCATCAAAAGCCCACAGTCGTCCACTGCTGGACATAGGCCTCTCCCAATCTACACCACTGAGCCTGGTCTGCGGCTCTCCTCATCCACTTCTTGCCGGCCACCGTGCTATTTGGATGATAAATTTAATGTAAACAAAACAATTAAAACTATCGAACTGTTGATACTTATACCAATTAAAACGCACCTTAAATGACAAAGATAAGCGAATAGCCGCTTAAATCAAATACCATTTCACTCGTCGATAAGTATAAATATTTAAACGTTTCTTCCCATAGAACAAGGAATTCTTGTTTGAGGCCAGATGACTATGTGTGATCTAATTGAGTTTACAACTATGTGGCATACCGGTTCAACTAAACCAGTGGTCGGAAAACTTATTAGCCAAAGAGCCAATTAAGCAAGTTAAAACGACTTAAAATAATTGAGACCCAAATCTGTTTGTAAATGTAGTAAGCACTTATTATTGCAAATCATAAAATAAATGCTATATTGTATACTGCTTCGATTAATATATATCGACGCTTGAAAGGCAAACGTGACTAAGCGACAATAACTGCTTTATACATAAATGATAGGCAATAACCATATTCGATGCGCAAAAAATCTATATTTCTAGGTCTATTAAAATAATTTCAATCCTACAGCTAGATTCGTTAAAATAGATTTTTTTTCAGGTATTTCAACTTCAAATTAGTCTACTGTAAAGTTCACGCATTGTCGCTTAGTCACGTCTGCCTTTCAAGCGTCGATATATCTATATATATATATATATATATAATCGATATCAGTCAGGGGTGCATACTATTAACCGGCTTTTTCGTCCACAGCCGGATAATATTAGAGGCTGGGCAAGCCCGTAAGATATTTGTGCCAGAGCCTCACTCAAGGGTTCAAAGAGCCGCCCTTTGCCGACCTCTGAACTAGACCATTAGTTGTGTCTAAGCAAGATTTTATGAGGACTTCAACGGCTATAGAAGTTTGCGTTATCCAGCTGGTTGAAGCGATTGTGTAATATTCATCTTAATGACCTTATGCATGTTCTCTTATCACGCTGTACAGGGATTTGGCGTGAGTTTTACAAATTTACCGGCCTCATTGGGTTGTATCTCCATATATATATATATATATTGCAACGTGACGTAAGTTAAGTACTTTTTCTGTTCCATCTTTTGATGTTTCTTTTACTCTATCCGTTTTTGGGTTTTTCGATTTGCATTTCATTGTTGTATAGTACACAAAAATGTTAAAAAAATTTAATTATATTCATAGTCAAATATATTATTGAAAACTTTTGTTTTAACAAATCACACGCGGTCATCAGCTGACCTCCAATTAATATTCCCTGTATTATGGATACCAGAGATTGACATATATAAACCTTTAAATATATACATATATCGATAAGAAATACCCAGACAAAGAGCTAAGAAACGTCTTCATCACACGAATGTTTGTCCAATGCGGAAATCGAACCCATGACCCTCGGCGCAATAGTCCAGGCCGTTAAATACTGCACCACTGAGTCAGTCCACGGATGAGTTCATGAATCAATTGGATGCTGTTCTCTGGTCATACACGAAGTTGGACCAAATCCCCAAGCTCAACTCAGAAGTATACCGGGGATTTTGTAAAAGCTCACCTCGCAAGTGAAAGTTCCGAAGTCCACTGACGTTAGGGGCGTGGCAGTCAAATTGGAGTGGTGACCGTTAGTGGAGATGGTGTACTGCGTGGAGATATCCTCAATCAGTTTGCCGTCTTTGTACCACCGCATGTGAAGGCTGGAAGTAAAGTTAAGGGCAATGTAATTAATGTTGCTCCAACTTGGGACATGAGGTCGAAACCTCAATTGAACTGTATAACGACTGTCTCATCCTTCAAACCGGTAAAACTCCTTCGAGCCAGAAAGACCCGGGTATGTGCCGGCCCGTTGTTATAATTATCAGTGATTGCCGTTGTCCATTCTCAGGTCAATCCCTTAGAGAAAGAGAGAGAGAGAGAGTATTCTTTATTGTACACCAAAAAACAAATAAACAGTGCGATACATTAAACACAAAAAGTACAATTGGTGGTCTTATCGCTAAGAGCGATCTCTTTCAGACAATCATCAGGTGGACAAGAATCATTTGAAAACGAACTACTTAGTAGACTTTTACGATACTTGTGGGAAGGAGGAGTGATGACTTTTACCGGTGGCCACTTTATTGGTAAACTGGTTAATGATTCTCTTACCACGGTGTCCGGATACGATTTGAAGAAGAATGAAGAACCCTTGAATTCTTGACCTTTGTCAAGAACAAGACAAGACAAAGATAAAGGTCTAGTCAAAACTCTAGTTTAGAGGTGAGGTCTAGTCAAAAGGTCGAGAATTCATTCGTGCTTCCACCGTAAATTATTCGGGTTGTTTGATTCTAGATATGGTAGATAGTGACGTCAGCATTTATGACGTCACACTATTTTAAAACAGTAATGGGTACCCAGAATTTAGACACACATTTACAACTCGATAATTTGAATGAGCTTACTCTGGTTCCTCGTGAGCTGTGCACTGCAATACCGCTTCGATGTTGATGGCCGAGTTCACTCTGGTCTTGTGAACGTGGACGCGTGGTTTCCCTGAAAAAAAAAACCTTTTTATTATGGATCCGAGACTAGAGCAAGTTTTCTATCCGTTCCAGCCAATCAAGATTCCATTGTGGACCTTTAAACACCTGGAGTATTTGAACTCCTGGAAACGTTATGAAAATCCTCTAACTTTTGCAGTATGTATATACAAATAAACTATCCGGACAAAGGCTGAGACATTTTATTGCTTCACCACCAATCTGTTTGTTTCTTTTAGGATCCAATAGCATAGAAGTTAACATTAGAAGTGGAAACACAATCACAATTTGCATCTGTGCTTGAGCTAGCTGATGAAACCTGTATCTCAAAAAAAGATGTGTGGTGTCGTGGGACACCGGATAGGAACGAAGTTCCATATAAAAAAAAAAAGGATTACGAGAAAAATATCGCTGTGCGGAAAAGGCCTTATTCCATGGACTTTTTCTTACGGTTTTTACTATCACATTTTTTTCAGTTCGGTCGCGCAGCAAAATCCCTATCTCCTCCAAGCCTGCCGTAAGGAACTTCGTTCCAATAATATGTAACAACAATAATGTGTAACAGTTTGATTCGTTATTATAAACGACTGAGATTTTCCTCTATTAGCTGCGACAGAAGCCAGAAGAAGATATGGTAAAGGCGGATATGGAGGAGAATAACCTCACCCAGAAGGATGTCGAAAACCGGGCAAAATGGATGACTTTAAGTAGGATAGCAGACCCTGGCATTAGACCGGGAAAAAGCTAGCAAGAAGAAGAAGCTGCGACAGAAGCCAGCACTTACCAACAACATGGACATCTATTTCGGCCTGCGTATGCCCCAGCGCGTTCAACACATAGCAGTAATACTTCCCGGATTCCTCTCGTTTCACGTTCTTGATGTAGAGACTGTTCCCGGTGAATTCTCCGTCGTTCTCGCGAAGTCGCTCGTTCTGGTAAAAAAAATCAAGCAAAATTCAGCATTGATAGAATTGGGAAAGAAAAAACTTAACGGATTCACTCTTTAATTAGTTCGTTTTTGGGATTCAAACTTTTTACGGCTTTTTCTGAATATGAATCAGTGAACATTTATGGCTCGTACCAATCTTAAAAAATGTTTTCCAGACACCTTATAGACCCTAAAATAGTTTAGGAGGAAAATTTGAAATGTCGAGCACATAACTTCATAGCTATTATAGATTTTAGGCCTAGGTTAAAAGATTGTTACTGTTAATCATCGAGTTAAAGTGGTAAAATTGACTAGAAAGAGACCAGACACATCTGTATCTCCTAACAATCCTACCCGCAGTTTTGAATCTACGTGCGATCGTAGTATAAGCCGCGCCAATAAAGAAACGAATCTAAAATGGCGGCGGCGATCGTGCACTCTCACTCTAAATTATTGCTGTCTTTAGTCGCACACGGCGCGTACTGCATGCAAAAAAATTTATCAGTTCTGACTTTGTTGTTGAGTTTGAGTTTTTTCACTTTCGAGTTGTGCGACTTAGACGACTGGCAGCAAAAGTGTCTACGCAAGTTGCATCCCAGATGAGAGACCTCCCCCTTTGCCAGGGCATAAAGTAAAGTAAAGTCCATTCTCATTTGCTTTTTTTTATATTTTTTTTACAATAAACAACTTTTTGTTTATATCTTTCTTTTTATTTGCTGACCCTACCATCTGTCAGTGCAGGTACATAGACGCCATTTTCGATTCGTTTGTTTATTGGCGCGGCTTATAGCGCTTGCAACACGCCAAAATTTCGGAAATTTGTTAAAAGGCAGAATTGTCGTAAAAAAACCGATACCTAATCGTTTATATTATGTTCAAATGCTCATCGATACTCACGACATTCGCAACTTCCCTGGACCACATAATCTGAGGTGCTGGAGTAGCGTGGACGTTGCAAGTCAGCAGGAGATTCGATCCTTCCACCACATACCCGCCATTGGTAGCTGTCAAATCTGTAAATGACATTGGTTTTTCCTATTTATTGGCTTTAAGAGGAAGACGTTTGGCGTACTCGTCGATGTAGCGACTGTGCCAACGTGAAACAAATTGCCTTAACACCAGTTCACGATCGAACGATCGATCGATCACGGGTCGTACCATGTCCTAAATTTGTGTAATTGCTCGCTGTTCAGTTTCTGAACGTAAAAATATCATCAAGCGACGTCCGCCATGACACAAAACCTCTTTCAAATCCAGCCGCAAAGAGCAACGTATCAACTTTATAGTTTTTTTAAGTTAAGTCGTTAATTTTTCATCTAAAGATACAATAAATATCTCAAGCAATACATACAGACCACGCTCAATTAACACAACGTAATATTCGCCGTATTGTAAATCCGCACGGTTCGAGACCATCTTTAATCGAGATCATTTTTTACTGGTGGTAGGACCTATTGTTATTCCACACGTTGAAGGCTGGGGCAGCCGTTGTGACTATACTGAGACCTTAGAACTCGTATGTCAAGGTGGGTGGCGGCATTTACGTTGTAGATGTCTACGGGCTCCGGTAACCACTTAACTCTGGTATTGGTTATTGGCTTAATCTGGTCTTCACTTGTGTATTTGCTCGACCGCGAAGCAGTCATGTGGTTTGTGAGGTCGGTTACAGCCGTGATTGAATACAATGAATGAGACTTGCAGCTCATATCTCAAGATGGCTGTTTTCGTAGTGGTAGCCAGTCGTCTTCTTCTTCTTGCTCTTATACCACATTATGTATGGTCCTCGCAGCATGTTCCCTTGCATGCTGCATAGGTATTTGTCATGAGTTTTACGACCAGCCGCCTAATTGACGTCAACTTTCCTTGGGTCATCGTTGACCTAAGATGGTAGCCACAAGAAGCTCTTTTTACACCACCGACGGGAAATATAACTCAGTCTAATTCTAAGCCGGAAACCGTACTTGTTTGCATCATTTTGAGTGGGCGTGGTGGGTCAATCTCACAGTCATTCATTACCTGCAAATCTGAGGGTATAAATAAATTAAAAGAAAACTACTCACTCTCTATAACCGGAGCCTGTAATACTTCTAGAGTGTGGTTGATGCTAACTGGTGTATCCTGGACAATCTCACATCGGTACACGCCGGCGTCCGTAGCGCTCACGTCCTTGATCAGCAAATCCTTGGAGTTTGGTACACTAAAATCAAACGGTTCATTGAAATACGAACAATGTAAAATCTACTCACATTCCCATAAATTAAAAATTGTTTTCATTCTGATAGCCCTTTTGACAGGGACTATTGATTCATTATGACTTTAACACCGAATAAATTAAGGTTTTGCTCATTACCAATCTACATACATATCGACTCTTAAAACTCTTAATCGATACTAAGCGACAAAGCGCTGCGTTCATTCACAGTGCGATTCCAGAGATTATCTTTACCACGACTCTAGAACGAACTCCCTTTCCACGGCTTTTCTCAAGTTCTATGACATTTTCTTCTGCAAGCGAGATGTATGGAGTCTTCACTAGTAGGCTATTTCAGCTTCTCCTTGACGTGTAGGTGAGCTCACGGGGCTCAACCGGCAGTGTTGCTAAATGGCCCTAGCAAGAACAGTGTTTCATAGTATCTACCACCGGATCGGAAACGCGACCCACTAAGAAGATCCGGCGAGAAACTCAGTGGGCTGTGTCCATGGGTTAATTTACTCGTCAAGCCCTTTACAAGCGACGGGCTCAGTGAGGACGGTGACCAGTGCTTGAGGTACATAAAAGCACCGATAATGGATCGGGGGGATCCATAATGACGTGCTTAGAGCGACGTCGACTGTTTACTATTCAGTCCACAGGATCGGGTATGTAATTCCCAGCGACCACGACAAAAGGGTTATTATATCGTGCCGCCTTCTCAAAGTGGTGCAATTATGCCAACTGTAGGTACTTACTGACTGAGAATGAGCGAGTGCCAGTATACTTACATAGAAATTTTTGTCAGGCCGTATTTGAGTTTTGCATTTCCCATGAAATATAGCTCGTCATTTCTCCACCATTGGACGACAGCAGCTGTGAAGAGAAATAAGTAAGTAGTGTTTTCAATAGCGCAGGTAGTCGCTAAAAAGAAGTGGAGAGATCAGAGAGAGATCAAATAGATAGCAGCAGCTGTGAAGAGAAATCAGTTTTAGTTTTTTCAATAGTGCAGGCAGTCGCTAATAAGATGTGGAGATATCAAATAGATAGAACAACTTGTTTTTGCCATTACAATTGACATTACAATTAAACTCGATAGGACGAGGTTTGAAATTTGGCTCGTGCCTACGCCGACGACCGGTGAATAACCATGCTCACAGATCGTTGAAGGCCAATGTTAAATATTTGGAGAATGTGGCCTAGAAGCAAATGACCGCCTAGAATATTCTTAATTATAAAATCGTGAACATTTATGGAAAGGATTTTTGAATTACATCTCTCTTTAATATTCTTAGGGTATAGAATTTTAAAAAGGCGTACTCAAATGGCCTTAATTATAAAATCGTGATCATTTATGGAAAGGATTTATTAACTCCAATTCTTTTCAACATTGTTTGGGTATGGAATTTTAAAAATGCATACTCAAATGGCTCAGTAGACTTACAGTCCGGTTGCACGTTACATTCTAGTCTGGCACTTTTCCCCGCTTCTATTTTGTATGTAGTGGGTAGTGTTGAAATGGAGGCTGGTTCCACACGTTGCGCTGCGGGACTATCACCTGAAATTAACAAATAATAACATCACTAATGATTGAATGGCAGAGAGAGAGAGAGAGAGAGAGAAAGAGCAGAGAGTGTACACCAAAAAAATCAATAAACAACGCGATATATTAAATACAAAAAAAGTACAATTGTCGGTCTTATGGCTAAGAACGATCTCGTCCAGAGATATATATATATATATATATAATATGAACGCGACGCACTAAGAAGATTCGGCGAGAAACTCAGTGGGCTATGGGTTAATTTACTCGTCGAGCCCTTCGTCGCCTTCGTCGTCCATGGTGTTGGTGTTTCCCAAGCGCTATGACATTGTAATTCTTCAAATGAGGCTTGTGGAGAGTATTAAACGGCAGACAGCGGCTTGGCTCTGCCCCTGGCATTGCTGAAGTCCATGAGTGACGGTAGCCACTCACCATCAGGTGGGCCGTATGCTCGTCTGCCTATACGGCGGTAAAAATAAAGTTTATCTTTCGTACCTGTGTCATTTTGGGTTTCTTCACCACCGAACTCGTCAAACCCTTCATCGGCCTGAGGGTCCTCGAAGTTCACTTCATCTTCAGCTTGACGACGATGCATGGCATGTGCTGGAAAAGAGATGACATCGATTAAATTTAATGGATCGTTCGTTTCAGACGCGCTCTAAATATTCTGAGGAAACGCCACTAATACAGAGTACGTATTTAAAGCAAAAAAGAAATGTGTGCGTGCTATAGCAAACATTCATGTACCGGACTCGTGTAAGCCTTTCTTTCAAAAGTAAAAAATCATGACTTTTACATCTTTATATATTTATGAGGTAGCGATTTTTGTCAAAACGAGCAAACATCTGTTTGCAAAACCGCAATCTGTTAGGAATACTTTAAAGATTTCTTCGCTACCTCATAGAACTGCCTTTTATGACAAGAGTTTTTTTAGTATGTCATCAAGAATATTTAATAAACTACCAATAAAAATTTTGAAGACATAGATTTACAAGATTTTAAGCAAAAATTGCAAGTATTTTTAATAGATAAGGCTTACTATAGTATGTCAGAATATTTAGACGATAACTTTAGATAATTTAGATGATAAAGTAGAATAGAGTTAAATAATTATAATTTAAGTTTTATTTTTTATTTTTATGTAGATTATACTTACACCGAATATTTGTACGCTTTACTAGCAGGACATAGTGATACATTTATTAATATTAGCTTATTAATCTTTGTTAAACTATGACCACAAATAATAATAAAATAAAACTAACACAGTCTTTTTATATGTATTGTTACGCTGGTAAGAGTAACGCCATCTATCGCCGAATAGCCGAAATGAATATCAGAGGATCTAGTAGCACCTAGAACGCTCGAGTAGTAAAAGTGGACAAACGGGACAAAAAAGTGAATTAAGCCGAGTGGTTAAGCGGTAACCGGAGCCCATAGTCGTCTACAACGCAAAAGCCGCCACCCACCTTGAGATAAGAGTTCTAAGTTCTCAGTACAGTACAACGCCTGCCTCACTCTTCAAACCAAAACGCATTACTGGTTCTCGGCAGAAACATGCTGGGTGGTAGTACCTACCCGTGCACACTCATAAGACGTCCGATCAGTAAAAATTGAAAAGTTTTAGCTTGAATGACGCCAATCTTTGTTGGTCCATTTGCATCGACAAATAAAATTCATTTGGATTCAATTTTGTGGTGTACATTACTGTCACACGACAATGGTGGTTATTGGCCTAAACCCTTCTAGCCTTCTCGATATATCAAAGTGGTACGCACTACATTAATTAATAGACAATTTTCAAAATTGTTCCATTACAAAAATATTTCTTTAACAATTGCCAACAAAAAAATAACTTTGCCGGAATTCACAAGAAACAACATTCTAATGTAATTCCTTAAACAAACGTACTTAAATTAATTTGTTTAGTGCTTTTCCGATGCGCAAGTACAAGTCAATCGTCGTCTTAATGGTAGAACAAATATAGTTACAATCTGTTACCAATTTTCGAGCTGTTATAACTTAAATTGATGAGAGGTATGGTTTAATTCATGGAAAAGCAGCGATTAAGGTCGCTTTTTAGTAGAAGTCAGTATTTTATAAGCTACTATCCGTACCCGCCCGCTTCGCTGGGCATTTAAAATTAATATTATTATTTATTGTCATTATTATTAGGGAGCCCAACACTCATACAAATATTAGCCTATCCACTAAGTACATGTATTTTCTACATAGATACCAAGTTTCAAGCCAATCTGATGCATGGTTCAGTAGTTATAACGGAACAACCGTAAAAGACCAATGTAGATTTATACATATAACCTATTGTTATATACATTTGTTATATTATTATATACATATATGACAATTTGGACGATTATATTTTTGAACGATTAGTAAATATAACATACTAACTCGGCCGACTTCGAAAAACCTTTGCATTAGGCAATATTTAGGGAAATTTACAAATTCTTCGACATTTTTTTTAATATACAACGTTATTCCTACATCTTAATGTATTTTGTGAGCACATATTAAGTATGTATTTAATAAAAGAAAGACCACTAGACCACTGATTTTTAGTATCTATTTACTGACGAATTGCTACATTCCTATTAATATAAGCTGAATTTCATATCGATACAGTGGAGTGCCTGAATATTTCCAACGGAACGCTCCCCTGTTTGTTGCTTCACTTAAATTCCATACGCCGCGTTTATTTAGTTATCAAATCGATAATATTGGTGGTAGGACCTTTTGTGAGTCCGCGCGGGTAGGTACCACCACCCTGCCTACTTCTGCCGTGAAGCAGTAATGCGTTTCGGTTTGAAAGGTGGGGCAGCCGTTGTAACTATACTTGAGACTTTAGAACTTATCTCAAGGTGGGTGGCGCATTTACGTCGTAGATGTCTATGGGCTCCAGTAACCACTTAACACCAGGTGGGCTGTGAGCTCGTCCACCCATCTAAGCAATAAAAAAAAAGTTTTTTTTTGCTAATAGCTTTTAACTTGTACCAAACACTTAACGTTTATTCTTTTTGGAATCCACCCGCGAGCTGCGCGTGTGTTCCTAACTCAAAAGGGAATAAGTTCACGACTGTACGATAATTGAACCATTGAGTCATCATACGCCTACATAAAAATCTTATATTGTTTAACTTGACCATCGATCACCATTCCCTTTCTTATGTAGCGACTGGGATCTTTTACAATACATACTAAAGCGGAGTGAGAGAGCAGTATGTAATAGCGCCTTAGACACGTCCTTATGGATCCGTCAGATCCAATAGCCTTTGCATTAGACGCCTTCAGCTCTAACACTAGGAGCAGGCCGGTAACCGTACTCATCTAACTCGACGTGCAACCAAACCCATGCATCAGCTCGCTGAGTTTCTGGCCGGATCTTCTCAGCGGGTCGCGATTCCGATCCGGCAGTAGATTCATTCGCGAAGCAACTGCTCTTGAGTTGTTAGGTCTCCTTCGGAGGCGCTCGGGCAACTGTTAGCAAATCCCACCCCTCCTGGCTGAGCCTTTGCTCGCCCACCTGTCCTGGTGTAACTGGAAAGGCGTCAGGGCCACCAGTAATCCTTCAATCATAAAAAATAGGCTGTTCCAGATACGCCCGGATGTGTAGGTGAGCTCACGGGCTCGACCTGAGAGAATTTGCCAACACTAGCCCTAGCAAGAGCAGTGCTACGCAGAATCTAGCACTGGATTGGAATTGCAACCTGCGAGAAGATCCGACGAGAAACTCACTGGTCGAATAGCGTATGATTCTGATAAACATACTCACGCGGCTGCAGCGAGAAATTAGCGCTGAAGTGATTGTCAGCCGGAATAGTTCTGCCTGTACTTTTGGCCAAAGAAATACAGTGCACGCGGATCCCTTCCAGTTGGATGGAGGGGTGATGTTAGAGGAAAACCACGTTTGTGTCAATAGTTAATAAGGCCGCTTTCTCATTACTACGAGACACATTGCTTTTTTAGTGATCGGGCGTATTAAATAGCCCGCATAGTTAGGTACCACAATCCTATCCGTTTCTTCCACGAACCAATACAAATGAGGTTAAGACCTCATATTTCAGGATGACACACCTCACATTTATATAGATATAGAAAAAAACAATTTACGTGAGCCGTGAGTTCATTCACTGATTTAGTGCAATAAAATCTGTAAGTAAAAGTTTTAAAGTCGTAATTTGCATATCCTTGCGTGATTTGTATAAATGTTAATTATAAATCATAGATCCCTAGAAACCTGGCAACAATTTTCAATATCTATTAGTGTATTAGGTAATTATGTATCGAATTTGTTCAGGAAAAAATAAGTTGTTTTTTTTGAGCGCATCGAGAAATTAAATACACTAGAGGTCCCGCAGTAGTCGAAATTCGACTATAATTAATTGGAATTGTAAGTTTGTACACTATTATGAATTTATACTTCTATAATCACAAATTTCGCCAAGACTACACTATAAAAAATATTAACCAAGACAAACCATATTCTATTCTCAATTTGACAACAGACGCCAAGAACAAAAGTTTGACAATAAATAGTATGCATGCGTGTGTACGCCAAATACATGTTATGTAGTGTGTGTAATGTTTTCTTTATTGTATCTTATATGCATTATTTAAAAAAAAAAAAATATTATGCACTTCTTCTCTATGTTCTCTATAAGTGTGGAAAATTTCATACTCCTCCGTCCGCGCAATTTTTGTAAAAAGGGATACAAAGTTTTTGCTTCACGTATTAATTAAAATAAATACACGAAATTGAACCTTAAAGTCACATCAAAATGCTATGTCTCTACTCGCCCCGAAATACTTCGGCGAAACGAAATTTCTTTAGCAACAGGAAACTAACATTATGACCAATATGACATCATTGTATCCTCAATTATGCAGGCTCATTTACATTCACCGAGCGTTTTACGAGTTCCACTAAAATAATAGGGTTATGGAACGTTACGAGCTTTAAAAGTGAAGCGGCTTATAAATGTACTAGCGACCCGCCCTCGCTTCGCTTCGGAAACATTAAAACACACATGAAACCAAAAAAATAAAATAAAATTAAAATTAAAAAAAGTAGCCTATGTTCATCAGGGACAATGTCGGCTTCTAATGGAAAAAGAATTTTTCAAATCGGTCAAGTAGTTTCGGAGCCTATTCGAAACAAACCAACAAACAAATCTTTCCTCTTTATAATATTAGTATAGATTAGAGGACAATTTCGATGGCTTTGCGATTGCACTTTCTCGTAGGTAGGTACCACCGACCTGCCTATTTTTGCCGTGAAGCAGTAATGCGTTTCGGGTTGAAGGGTGGGCAGCCGTTGTAACTATACTTGAGACCTTAGAACTTATATCTCAAGGTGGGTGGCGCATTTACGTTATAGATGCCTATGGGCTCCAGTAACCACTTAACACCAGGTGGGCTGTGAGCTCGTCCACCCATCAAAGCAATAAAAAAAAATTCGTGGGCGCTAACGCGTCTAGAACCTAGACCATGGATTCATTTCTTTATGCTGACTCTACCCATTTCCATCATTAGACACTGTTCAGATTCTGAACGTCAAAATGTTAGCCAGTGACGTCCGCCAT